AAACGTATGACTTTTGAACTTTATGCAAAACCATTCCTCACGATAAATTAAAGTCCAGGCTTTTCGATATCATTAAGTTAGTGTGACCGGTCGAAGGAGACTCATATTCGTCCACCTGGTCTCACCTCTGATGTTTCTTAAGATCTCCTTTGCTAAGTTTCCAACCGTATTGTTTCAAGGAAATTTTGAGTTTGACATATGTTCATTATTTTCATATTACTTGATACTGTTAATCACAAATGGCATTGTTTAAAAGGTAACAGAATGCATAGTACCTCTAATTAATAATAATGAATCAAAGTCTGAGTAATTATATTAGAAGAAATTGAGTATAATATGAGTAACTTAAATAATATCAGCAGTCTCGTTCATTTTCATCATTAAACATCGTTTAAAGTCATCATTTCGTAAGTTCTATGGTCGATACAATTACCATGGTACGTAGCAAATACAAATTATCAATGAGTCAAATGCCGACTGTCGATTATCATACTAATTGTTAGTTCATTATTTACACACTGAAGAAAACAAAAGACTTAATTTTCCATTATTTCCAGATCATGACAAGGAACACACGGCGGGGGTGATCGGTCGGCAGGGGATGCTCTTGATCCTTTCTCTGATGTTTTGGAGGTCCAAATTTGCTCAGTTCTTCTGTTTTTATACTGTTTTATGGACGTTTGAGCTTGAATACTCTTTGTTTTTTGCCTTTATATGTTTCATTGACATAGTTAATGAAAATAGAATACTGTAACTTTAAAAACCTCATAAAAGCTTATCAAAGTAATCAGAATAGGATTGATTGATTGATTGATTGATTGATTGACTGTATATTCGTTTACGTTCCATTCCAAAATTTATATGAAGTTGAAGCTTTAAATTTTGAGCATTACTCGACATGTAGGGCAGTTGAGCAGTGTGGTTTGGGATCTTTATTGTAGCAACACCCGCCATGAATTTAAGGGTGAAACGTTTACTGAATTTTGCAAACGTTTAAACGGATAGTAGTATACGAAACGGTACCATTTAAACGGGAGATATTTTATGTTGGATTTTTATGGCTACTTACTCATGAAACTCGAATTTAATAATCAATTCTTTCACTTTAATATAAGTATGAGTTGATTACAATTTCATTGTTGGTCATTATGACGTAAGAATTTAAGGCGCATTAAACTCATTCATTTTGTACATCGTCACCCAACTGCATTGGTTTGTTTGGCTATACCGGACGTAGAAAAAGAATTGTAAAGATGGATCTTTTAATCTCGAAAAATGTAAAACAGGACCTGCTGACTGTATCAAAACACTTTTCAAAGACTTGTGAAAAATGTATTATATTTATTTAATCAAAATATATCAAGTTTTATATTTCAAGTGTCATAAAACATCGCTAGTATTCGCAACTCGGAAATCGGAATTAAATATGTTAGACCGTACCGGGTTTTAGATATTTTTATTCAATATGTTTCTGGTGTAAATTGTTGTTTATCAAATGGTCAAAGACGGTGTTTCTAAAATTGTAAATTATGAAATATTATGAAATAAAACAATTTGTTTGTGTTAAACTTTATTTCTGATAGACATTGATAATGACCTTCGTGTAAACGTTTACTCAATCTGTAAACGTTTAGAGCATATAACCGAAACCTCGCCGTTTACACGTGTAATCGTTTCGCCCTTAGCCATGATACAGGGTCTTGGTGTTTAGGGCCTTATCTCATCAGTAATGGAAATGACATGGAACCAGTCTTGAACTTTTTCGCATGAACCAATGTAAAATTGATAAAATATTTCAGCTATCATATAGTTGCATGGTTTAAAATATACTGGTCAATGACTATGGCTTAAAATTTTGTATAATTTATTTATTTTATATTCACCTTGAAGTTGTATCTTTTTTTTAACAAATGCCGAAAAAACGTTACGGAAATGCTGTGTCAAATAATTAAATTAATATTTGTAAAAACAGGTTTTTAAAATGTTTTTTTTAATGTCATTTGAAAATAAAGAACAATATTTAGGCTGAAAAGTCCAATCAAGCAATATAAATCTTTATTAGAGCAAACAGCATCAGAGGTTGGGTCTTGTGCCGTTGAAGAGTAAGCAACTCATGTCTACAGGTACTCCTTGTCGTGATGGAACAAAGAAAAAACTCGTAGATAAATAAGGTTGTAAATAATGGCTTAACAATTAATATGAAAACCATCACTCAGCATTTTATTTTAATGGTACATCGTGTTGCCTGACAAGGACATTGTATCAATGGCCGGAATGTTGTTTATCGGTACAAAAAAATAAGTTCTTTAAAATTGATAATTACAATTTTCCTTTAGAAGGAAATTATCAGCCAATTATATCCGTCAAAAACCATACGAGAACATTTTTTGAACGGTTGAGCGTTTACATATTCAAAGTTATAGAAAATAAATTCAATTATTTTAGTGTTAATTAAATCAAAATCTTCTAACATAGCAAATAACTAAATCTTTGTTGAATTATTCCAAGGGAAGTTTTTGTAAATTGAAATAAATGAAAAAAGAACTCTTACCCAAAAAGAAGGATCCAATTATTGTTATTAGTTTACACACGTTGACTTTTACGGAAGCCATGGAACAATATTTTATCTTCAAGCTTCATGCATAAATTTGTTTGTCAGATTTTAATTATTTAATCCAAAAAGCAGAATTTTTAGCTTATGTCCTCAAGTAATCCCTTTCTATATAAAATGATACAGATAATATATAAAAGATGTTGCACTCTATATTTTTAGGACTGCTTAAGCTACATTTTAACTCATCGCTTCCCTTTCAATGAAATCAGTTTTAAAAGTCAACAATATCAATGACGTAAGAGACTGGAGGCAAATAAGTCGCGTCCCGGAAGTTTGATAAGTTGCTATTATTTTTCAGGCTGCTTTAAAACGTAACAACAACTTTTAAAAGAAAGTAATTTATTATTATGTAGTATTTTATATATTCGGTTGAATAAAAAATGATTGTTCATATGGGTATGGTAGGTAAATCAAGTTTGTTACCGGTATTTTGTTAATATTACGTGTAAAAAAAAAAAGAAAAAAAAAGAACTCTCTAGCTGTCTTGCTCTTAACAAACATTCCCTTTCGGGATCTGTTCCGCTAATTTGAGTAATAAAATGTCTTTCTTTGGTTGTTAAGACTGGAATTAATGTCGCAGCTGTTGCAGAAAAAATACATATATATACATATTTTTCTGCAATAGCTGCGACTTTAATCTGTACTTACAAACAAAGAAACACATTCTATTGTTTATATTTACATCTATATGAAAAAAAATCAAAGTAAAATATTTAAATATTTTGAATATTGTATTATAGATGAATATATATGTAATTGTAAGCATAACCGAAGGAACATCCATTGTTTTAGAAAGCTATGCAACATGGCTTGCTTAGAGTCGTTTATGTAGTGATTAATGGCAATTGTCTTCATAAAAAATAAAGGAAAAAAATATTCAGTGGGTGTAAATATTCTTGGTTTTTTTTTCGTTTTGACAATTTATTTTCGTAATTGGCTAAGATGAAGGAGATATCAGTTGAATTTAATTTCCAGTGTTTTACAGATGTATCTGTTTGTTTCAATTTTTCGAAAAACCTTTACGACTTCGAATTATCAACTTCTATATGCTTACATGGTGAAAATTAATAGTTGTGTTATAGATTGCTTTTTTGAAATTCTGAATTATTGAGTACAAAAACAAAGCATGCATTATCAATTGTATTTTTTCCTCTCAAACATATATATTTATTTCTAGATAAAATAATGGAAAGAACGAACAGTATTCAAGCTCAAATACAAAAAAATATAAAGGAGCAGAGCAAACACGGACCTTCGAAACGTCAAAGATGAAATCAGGTGTCATTGAGAAATGAACATCCTATACAGACCGCTGACACCAGCCTTGTGCACCTTGTCATGATCGGGAAATAGTCAATCAATTCATTGTGTAAAAATTGGACTTACAATTAGTATAAAAAACAACAGTCAGCATTTGACTCAATAACAAAATAATAAATTGCTGACAAGGTCATCTATGTCATTCGTTTCTTTTTATTTTTGTTTAAATTGCTGTTGTATAAGCCAGGTAAGGCTTCAATTTCTATATATGTGTACAATTTATTTATACGGTCTGATATTTAAGACGTTTGGCATCAATTCAAATGCTTTAAGATAAATTAAATGTGTTATCAGAAATGCCAGTGAAGGGGAATCCCAGAGGTCTTTATGTTCATTTTTACATATTTGCTAATCACGTCAAAGTAGACCAAACTTAATTATTTAAACATTTTTGTTAGTCATGTGATATTTGCAATAATTTTGCTTCCTACTCTTTTTCTGACAAAATAATTCTAGACTCTGTAAATACATATGTGCTATAAAGGATTAACAATAAAAGGTAATTGATTTATTCTTTTCTAAATTTGAATATTAATAACATCGATGTATATCTTAGAATTTTTTTTATGCATTTAAATAATTTGAAATTTCTTCAACGTACTATTTATACTGATTAACATAAAATTACTTTAGTTAATTGTGACAAATGACATATCCAAAAATTTAATATCAATATATATTAATACAAAAAATGACATTATTTAGATTAATATTATCTTACCTTCTTTAAAAAATTGGAATGGAAATGAAAATCGTTTTTCTTTATCCAGATACAGGACAGACTGCTTTTCCTGATATGGATCCTATTTGGACAGTTTTCCATCTTTTATGCCTCTTTCTAAGTTTTAATTTGGGAGGTTGTCTTATGATTGAAAATTTATATAAAGATAAACTGGATGTTTTTTCTTTGTCTAATTGATTTATTATAATATTTTAAAAACATTTTGACATATTTCAGGTTCCTTATGTTATTGCAACGTTGCAGGTAAGATTATAAAAATATAATGTTATGTGAATTTGTCTCAAAAAATTAATTCCATCACATTAAATAATCTTTTTCTTTCGGTTTAATTTTAGATCCATGTGCGCAAGCAAATGCATCTTCATTCTTTGAACCATATGCAAGATTTGAAAATTGCCAATATGATTCAAAATACGCACCGTGTGACTGTTACATAATTCCCCAGTGGTACAGGGTGGATGACGTCATGTTGACGCAAAGTCCGGAGCTTCTCAGTTGCGGCGCTTTGTATCCTCTTTGGCTAAAAGGTACGTGTAGTTTATCAATTTAGTTTTTTAACACATTTTTCGTCTTGAGTTATATTTTATGTAAATGTTGCATAAGCACAATATCTACAGAAATTATTTAAGCATTGAATTCATATTTTGGGATGTCTTCGGTCCTATAACACACCTGGCCGTGCCGACAAATTGAATACCGCGCGTTAGCGCGGTATGATAATTTGTGGGCACGGCCAGGTGTGTAATAGGACCGAAAACATCCCAAAATATGAATTCAATGCTTATATTTACATTCTTTAATTTTTCCTCTTCATAATTGTTTATTTCGGTTATCTTTAATATGAATTTAGCGACCTTCAAAATTGTTGTGATTTATAGACGTAATCTTGAGCTGTTTGTGACGTTTGTGTCGTCGTAAAGTTAAATAACGCCAAACGAACATTGCGAGGAAAAAAGTGATAAATTAATTCTAAATGCACATTTGTTGTATTTTTACGTTAATTTAACAGGGTTAATTTTTTTTTTTTTTGTCAAACATTGTACATTTTGATGTTCATAAAGTATTGAAAATGCATATAGTTCCTACTGTGTATTCTAACGCGCGGTGACAAGGTTTCGCGTGTGTCACAGAGATTTGAACGTCACGGATTTCTAATGGATTTCATAAAGAAAATTATATTGAATGTAAATATTTTGTAATGAAGCAAATTTCATGGTTCTTGAGTCCTCTATCCTTTTTAAAATATCAGGATCCTTGCCGACGACTAGTGACGGTATTGTTGAAAGAAAAGTTTGCAAGGTCGGATTTTCATCTTGTTGTTCAAAAGAGTATGATGTTTAGATCAAACACTGCGGATCCTTCCATGCTTATTGTTTAGGGGCCCTCGATTCCTGTTCCGAAAGATATTGTTTTGGTAAGATTTTTTGAGGGCCTAAAATCTGTAAATTGCTGATGATTTACTTTTCATGAAAAAATAATCACAAGAACAAATTAAAAAAATGATAAATAAAATAAAATTTATTTACGGTTTGTGAACATACTATAAATCAAGTATAAATGTATCACATACATGGACTCAAAACAACATAAACATGTTTTTATCTATGATAAGGGAAACAAGGTTTATGTGAATATCCAACTGCTAGTACGACATCAACCACAACAACATCAAAACCATCTACGGTTAGCCCACCAACGACATGCTCTGAGGGTATGTTGTTTAAATAAACTGAAACCACTTCTTATAAAACTTTAAAATTTTCATATATTTTTAGACAATTTATGTTTCCATAAATAAAATAAAACACTAATAATATGTGTAACATTTGGTCGTTTAGATCCTTGCATAGAAGGAAACCTTCAAACATTGACACAGGATAGACTCCGCTCCATGAATTGTGAATTTAAACAAGGGCAGGGGTACTGTGATGAATACCTAAAAGCTGGGTGGTATAAATCTAGTTCTCCCATGCTAAATCGGTGCCCAAAGGTCTTAAGCTGTGCTTCAATATACTCAGTATGGATGAATGGTGAGTATAAATGAAATACTCGGGTAGGTTATGTGTCAAATAGGAATACGTCTCCTTCACACAAACAAGATTTCCAATCTGAGAGCTCAGTTGTTTATTTCAATCGATGAGGGTTGTCTGATGAAAAATGAATCTTTGCACTGTAAACAGGAAGTCGTCCTACCAGAGGAGATGGTGTTGTTACACGACAGGCATGCCAAAGAGGGTTCCACAGCTGTTGTTCTAAGTCGTATGACATCAAAGTAAAGAACTGTGGCAAATACACCGCCTACTGTCTACAGGGAGTGGACACATGTCCGTCGTGGTATTGCTTCGGTATGCAAAATATTGCGTTTTGTGTTTAAAGATTTAAATTCATTCCTCGACCGAAATGTTTATTGTTTACATTGTTATAATTCTAGGTGATGAACCATGTGGTTATGATGAAGTTGATGAAAGAAAATCATATGCATATGGTAAAACAGACTTTGAGAAACAATGAGCTTATTTTTTTCCCTTTTTGGCCAAAAAATTTAATTCAATTTTTATGTATTTTCAGGTGATGGCGGTCGTAAGCATGTAGATCTGGAGATCATCCTCGGCCTGATACTTGGAGTGCTGATTTTGATTCTGGTTGTGATGCTGATAATTATGAAAAAGAGATTTGTAAAAGGGTTTGTTATTTTGTTGTTGTATTTTTGACCTGAGATTATTTTTTATATTACATAAAAGTAAGAATAATACATTAAAAAACAATTGAAGTTTTATATTTCAGGTTAAATTTTATGACAATCCATTCATCAATCAAATATGTTTCCTTACCTCTTACCATACCTCATTGAATTAAAAACTTGGATACAACCAATATCATACAGTGCATTCATTCTTCTTTGCACACTACAAATCTTCCCCATGGTTTTCTTGCCCGGTCAGTTAGTTATAACTACCCATTAACATAAGATTAAGTATGTTACATTTTAAAGGTAACAAAAAATACGTGTGTCTTTCTTTTCTACAGGAATAGTAAAACAGGTTCAACAGTAAATACCCAGTGGACAGAAACCAAAACAAACAGGATAAATAAACTCGCTTATACTACAGAAGATCTTCCACCATACAAACCTTGATATCCTTACATCTAAATATGAATTCAGATATCATGTTTCTTTTGACATTGGTTGTTGTAAAATACATGTATACATTCTCAAGGTCGTGAGTAGGGTAAAAGTTAGCTGTGTTTCTATAAATTCCCAACACAGATAAAATACATATTAAGATAATGGTAAATTACAGATTAAATCAACAATGCAAAACAAGCTTCAAGTCGTTTGAAAATGTAATGGATACTGGCTACAAGTGTTTCAAAATTCTGAATTTATAGTGAAACAGACATCGTTGAACTTTTTGTATCTTCGAGTTGCCGAAACTGTGATTATAGCACATTTCTGTACAATTTGACCTTTCGACCTTATATAAATTCTACACATTTTGAATTTAGTTTCAGTATAAAATATGGATTAATATATAAAAGAATTCGTCTACTTTTGACGGGCTATGCTTTCTTTTTATTTATTTTTAATTTTGCAAGCTACAATATTGATAAGAGCTTCATCCACACATCTAGTACAGAGATACTGCGTGCCAAACAGTGACGTCATCACCAGCATACGATGTATATACCTCTCAGTTCATTTGATACGCAAGGGTATGCTCTACATGTGCATATGAGTAATTTGTAAAAGGAGGTTAATTATTGACAGACATATTGTTGAAACAAGAATTTTATTCGTCTTGTTTATTCATTTTTAATGTCATTTTTCGTAAGTTTTTGGTCCATAAAATGATCTTTTTAGCATATATAATTTATCAGTAAGTCAAATGTTGACTGACGTTTTTCATACTTATTGTTGACAGATTCTTCCGTTATTTCCCGATCATGACAAGAAGCGCACTGCATGTGTGACCCGTCAGCAGGGGATGCTCACTTCTTCATGGCACCTGATCCCACCTTTGATTTTTAAGAAGTCCGTGTTTGGTCTACCCTAATTTTATTTTGTTTCATGGTCTTTTGAGCTTGAATATTGTACGCTATCTCTATGCATCTATGTAAGTAAGGAGTGATTGAACTGGCTTTTGTTCTACATTTCCTAAGTGCTGATAAAGCAAAATTAGGTGCATATCCATTTAAATTAAAAGTTTACAATATCTATGAGAAACGATATCGGTAATATTTTACTTCATTCAAAATAATTAATAACTAATTATATCTATATATATAAACACACAATAAGAGATCCATATGTATTATCGATTCGGTAAATTTTATAATACAAGTCATATAACTTATAAATGTATATACATGTAGTAATTTTAATTTCTTCAATCCTTTTTTTTTTTTTGTATCTTAACATGTAAAAAGAGACTGAACGACAAACATGATAGAAAGACAATCTCGTTACAAATGAATCTATTAAACATTTTATGAGTTTTTTTTACATCTCTCCTAATCATACTAAAGGCACCATCAGCAGCTGGAGATGCTCACTCCTCCATTGTACCTGATCCACCATTTGATGTTTACGAGATCCATCTTTGTCCTATTTTTGATTATACTGCTTAATGAACAACACTAAGCTTGGATACTGTTCGTTTTCATTTTACTTTTTTATCTTTATATTCAGTATACCGATATCCTCATTGAAGAATTTTTTTGGACTAGTTTATAGGATGAAAAAATTTATGTCCTGCATAAAATGTTTTCAGTTTCAGTTCATTTTATGACTTTTTTGCTGCAATAATGCGTCATTTATTTATTTATTTATTTATTTTTTTTTACTATTTTGTGATTTGGTAAATGTTTAAGAACTACAAGATTGCATAATTGTTTACTTAATGTATTTAAAAAATATTTCGAAGATACTTATGTAAAATCTGCTATCATTTTGAAATATATATTAGTGTAGAATAACAATGTACTGGATTTTTAAAATAAATAAAAATGAACCTCATGTATATCTTAAGACAAACATTTTGCGTCAAATATTGGTCATAAGGGATAAAGTAAAGTAAACAAAACCAAATTTTAATAAAAGGAGACTTATCTATTATCACGCAAGATAATAGAATATCCAACAAAATAATGTTTTCCTGCTTTCCTTGTTAAGATCTTATATTCGAAGACAAAACCAGAACTTTGTATCCTTTGTGTATTTTTCTTAAACAATAATTACATTGGCATCAAAAATTTTAACTGTTTTAATTGTTTTGATCATATTAAAAGCGTGTGAAAACTACAATTACACAACATATTTATCAACATTTCAAAAATTTTATGAAATGGAATAAAAATCTATGAATGGATATATGTGGTTTTGTCATCTTTTCAAAACAGAAAAGAACGAAATTATCAAGAAATTCACCGTGTAAATGTATTTGTGTTTATATGTTTTGCTTATAGATATAGTGTGCAATGTATAGTTGTAATAGCCAATAATTAAAAAGAATTTCAAAAATTTTATGAAATGGAAAAAATCCATGAATGAATATATGTGGTTTTGTCATCTTTTCAAAACAGATAATTCTTCCAGAGAAGAAAGTAGTCATGTTCCATAGAACACTAACTAGAAATGGGAGATGATTTCATGGCCTTAGGTATGTCTCTACTTGAATACTTGTATTTTCAGCAACATATTAAATTGGGCTGAAATTAATACACGATAAGATTCATTTGAATACTTAAAAGTACAATACGATTTACTGTGAAAGCCATCATAACACATGAATAATTTATTTAAAATCTTAAGACTCGTTCTACACATATGGGGGTAAAAAGTTAAGATTTAGAGAGTAAACATAATTATAACACAGACGACCACGTGGCAATCGCAGCACTCTACACACAGATGCTGGTAAACAACATCGGAGAATTTCAAATCAAAACTTTACTCTCCGCCATCAAGTGACGACTGTTTACCGTTATGTTGTTTGTTTGGGTGTTCGTCTTTGTGTCTGGGTTTGTTTGGCTGGCTGATGGATCATGTTATTTCATGCAGCAACCTCCTAGAAATTTAAACGGTAAATATTAAAGATATTCCTCATTTTATTGAGAATGATTTTCAATATTCTTTGTTTAATATATGTTTTGTTTGATGTTTGTTTACTCTGACTTTTTTCTCTCATTTTTTCCTGAAGGTTGTGTGGATAAAACAGGTCAAGTGATTGGTTTTAATGAAACAAAGTTCGACTACGAGGCTTGTTTTTATTGCTACTGTGGACGTGGAGCATTACATTGTTGTGGGTAAGTAATAGTAAACATTGTCTTATATATACCTTTGAATGGCCTCATTGTCAGTACGTGTAAAAACATCAAAATGTCCAACTGCGTCCATATATTTTATACATTAATTTTATATTTAAACGTCTAAAAAATAAAACTTCGTCTTTTTCATTACATTATAATAATATTCAAAACACATACGATACAGACATTACAAGACCTAAAAATAGGGATGTAGTTGTGTATATATATGCTGTTTACATTAAGATTATTTCGTGTACATCAACTTCGCGCGAAGTTTAAATTCAAAGACATAAAGTTTCACACGGCCACAAATGCATTCATTCCCCCATTTGAATCGGTTTTTAGAATTATTTGATACTTCTCTGTTTAACGTCCCTACGATAATTCTTCACTTGTATTGAGATCCCACCGCAGTGGGTTATCTTTTTTGTGCCAATACTGCGACACCGGACCTAAGCGAAAACGGATTATTTTTTTCCTGCAAATCTGCAATGTTAATTTCAATGGAAACATTTTTTTTTGTTTTAATTAATAATTTACCGTATGAAAATATATTAATTAAAATCGATGCAAAATATTGCATTAATTTATATGTAACGCGTATTTCCTTCTGTATTTTATTGAGAAATCTAAACAGTTGGTTAGGTTTGTGTCATTTTTACTGATTGATGATCAACATTGGTTGTCATACCATATAAAGAATTTTAGTATGCAGTAATCCATACTGTATGCAGACTCTATAATGCAAAGTAATCGTGAAAAAGACCCCATTTATCCTGCACACTTGCTTTATTCGAATGTTGACCTACGATTGTATAGACGATAACTAACATCTAAATTGTGGAGAACTAGTTGCACAGGATAAAATTTTACTACTCTGTTATCTGAAAGGTGACTGAATGTTCAAAATACTGTGACTAAGTTTTCACAGAAAGGGGACAAAATGTTCACAATGAATTGACTGCATGTTCACAGAGGGATGAGTGAATCTTCATAGAGAGGTGACTGAATGTTCACAGAGAGTGACTGAATTTAACAGAAGGGGTGACTGAATGTTCACAGGGAGTGACTGAAATTAACAGAAGGGGTGACTGAATGTTCACAGAGAGTGACTGAATGTTAATAGAAGGGGTGACTGAATGTTAACAGCTATGTGACTGATTATTTCCTATGTAACTTGTAACACGAGCTTTGATTGCTTACAGAGTCGGGTTAAAATATCCGTGCACCCAACTTGAGCTGGGGGTAAATAAAAACGCGATGTCACAATGCGTACTTTCTCTTTTATAAAAACCAAATATTATGACGACACGATGCATTGTAGTACGTAGTAATCATTCGATAGATTGAGACACAGCTGATTAGAATCTGATGTTTACAAAGATTTTTTTATTGGTTCCTAGGAAATAAATTGGTTATACAGGTCAAATCAAAGCTGTACGGGGGTTTACCCCGGAATTTATTCCACACACCCTTCGGCCTCAGATTGCATCGAATAAAACCCAGGGTAAATCCTCGTACAACCTTGATTGAACCCGGATCACTATTAATGTTTACAGAACGGTGACTAAATATTCAAAGAGGGGTGATGGAATGTTTACAGGGATATGACTGAATGTTCACAGAAATATGACTGAATGTTCGAAGAAATGAAACTCAATTTTCACGGAGGGGGGACTGAATGTTCACAGAGAGGAGACTGAATTTTCACAGAATGGTGACTGAATGTGACTGAGTGTTCACAGAGAGATGACTGGATGTTCACAGAGAGTTGGCTGAAAGTTCACAAATGGGTGACTGAACGTTCACAAAGGGGTGACTGAATGTTCACAGAGAGGTGACTGAATGTTTACAAAGAGGTGACTGAAAGTTCACAATGGGGTGACCGAATGTTCACAGGGGGGGGGGGGGGAGGGGACTGAATGTTCAAAGAAATGGGACTGAATGCTCACAGAGAGGTGGCTGAATGTTCACAGAGGGGAGACTGAATATTTAAAGAAATGGGACTGAATGTTCACAGAGAGGTGACTGAATGTTCACAGAAATGGGACTGAATGTTCACAGAGAGGTGACTGAAGGTTCATAGAGATGGGACTGAAAGTTGAAAGAGAGATGACTGAAAGTTCAGAGAGATGGCTGAATGTTCAATGACAGATCTCAGCCTCTCAGTCACGATCACCTTTCCTTATCTTTCAGTGAACATTTCAAGTTGACTTTAGGCCATAATAAATAAATTGCTAGATTCTCATCCGAATTTTTTTTTTTTAAAGATCGAGGCGGGCGGGCGGCTTTTATTAGCTCACCTGAGCCGAAGGCTCAAGTGAGCTTTTCTGATCACATTTTGTCCGTCGTCCGTCCGTCCGTCTGTCCGTCTGTCCGTCCGTCCGTCCGTCTGTCTGTCTGTCCGTCCGTCTGTAAACTTTTCACATTTTCGACTTCTTCTCAAGAACCACTGGGCCAATTTTGACCAAACTTGGTACAAAGCATCCTTGGGTGAAGGGGAATTTAAATTGTTAAACTGAAGGGACATATCCCCTCGCAAGGGGAGATAATTAAGAAAAGACAAAAATAGGGTTGGGTCATTAAAAAATCTTCTTCTCAAGAACCACTGGGCCAGTAAAGCTGAAACTTATGTGGAAGCATCCTGGGGTAGTGTAGATTCTAAATTGTTCAAATTATGACCCCCGGGGGAAGGGCGGGGCCACAATGGGGAATCAAAGTTTTACATAGAAATATATAGGAAAAATCTTTGAAAATCTTCTTCTCAAGAACCACTGTGCCAGAAAAGCTGAAACTTATGTGGAAGCATCCTGGTATAGTGTAGATTCTAAATTGTTCACATCATGACCCCTGGGGGAAGGGCGGGGCCACAATGGGGAATCAAACTTTTACATAGAAATATATGGGAAAAATCTTTGAAAATCTTCTTCTCATGAACCACAAGGCCAGAAAAGCTGAAACTTATGTGGAAGCATTCTGGTATAATGTAGATTCTAAATTGTTCAAATAATGACCCCCGGGGAAGGGCAGGGACATTATAGGGAATCAAAGTTTTACATAGAAATATATAGGAAAAATCTTTGAAAATCTTCTTCTCAAGAACCACTGTGCCAAAAAAGCTGAAACATATGTGCCCTTGGAAGGATCATGGGGTAGTGTAGATTTCAAAATGTCTAAATTATGATCAGTGGGGTAGGGTGGGGATGCATTATGTATAATAAGGGGGAACTCTCGTAAAGAACAGAATGGTCAAAGCTTCTCAGGTGAGCGATGTGGCCCATGGGCCTCTTGTTATATATTTTTTTCTTTTTTCAATTTTGCAGATTTTTTATAGACCTGGTCAGTCAGTGTAATTTTATCTAATGCCCGAATAAACGTCATAGTAAAGGTTCAATTATCTCTTACTTCACACCATCACCAATATTTTTCAACCAATGACCCTTGTTTAAAATATAGATGCATGTATTACAGCAATTACCATCTTTTCAGCTGTCATCATCACTTTGGCGGGTAGAATGGTAGATGAATACCGATCCCAATCAGAATTAAGACGAAGAAAAACAGAAATAAAAAAAATCGAGGCGGGGGTATAAAATCGGGGCGGGCGGGGATGAGAATCTAGGAATATTTTTATTATGGCCTTAATGTGCTGTTTCATCTGTGATGACTTCAGCTTTTCCATCTTCTGCTTCCCGTTTTATGTTGCTATATTCTATCACTTCACCGTTTATGGTAGCGTCTCTACAACCAATAGTGTAATCCTTAATCCTTTTCAAAACATACCTTGAATTCGGTTATATATTTTAAATACTTCCATTGTGGGTAACAGATTCACTATGTATTTCATACCAATAATTTTCAAGTTGCGAAAAATAAAAAGTTCTTAAGAGGGAGGTGTACAAATACTTGTTAATAAATAGTGAAAGATTTCATTTTTGATTTCTCTTTATCCAGTATTGAAACCTAACTGTCGTGAGCTAAACTTTTTCATTTTTTTTAAATAATATTAATTTCAGTTGAGTGTGAAGTTTTGCGTTACGTCACGATCTTTTCGTCAGATGCATCCAGTTTAAATAATTCACGAGATTGGTCAACTCATATTATCAACCTTGACACTGAAATAGTCTGTTGCACCAGCAACCAATAAGGAATAAGAAGAAAGTTCCAGTCGTAAAACTTGCGGTGTGTACAATTTGCCTTGAGCGCAGCTGTCAACCAGACCGTGACGTAACATATAACTTCACACTTAACTGCAAACTATGATATTGAAAAGTACACCCATCCAAGACGACTGGAGTATATCCAGGTAAACCCCCTTGCAGAAGTTATGTGTATTTAAAAAGAGAACTTTTCCTCCTTTCAAAATTGTTAAAAAGAACAGTTTTTTTAATCGTTTCTCGTGAGCTTTTAAATAAGATGTCCAATTAATATTAGTCTAGATTAAACAACAAAAATTAGAAAACAGATTTTAAGAAACTCATGAAAAAAAGGAATTCTAATTCTTATTGCATTCATTTTCAGGTTTGGCTACAACGCAGGGATCATGGAAAGACAAGGCTGCACGTTGAAGAGACTGCCTCGCTGTGATTATACTTTTATCAATGATGAAGACGGTGTGTCACAATGTACGCATTAGATGGTTTTTAAAATGGACTTGAACTTTATGCAAATGAACTACAATTTTATAAAAAAAATTGTGGCTGAATAAAGTCAAATCAATTGTACTCTCATTCATGCACTCATTAGTCGTAAATAAAGTGAAAATTCAATTTGTTTAAACTTTTAATGTTTCCTGTGCCAATTCAAGTATAAAAATAATATTTTTTTCTATGATGATTCCCCACCATAAATTAAAGTCCACGCCTTTTGATATCATTGATAGCTGCTTTTACAATAAAATGGAACTCTTAAATTACTAGTAATTTACATTGTCATTGGCCATTTGCAAAATTATTTTTTAAAAAACATTCTGATTGTACACGCAAATGCAATCTATCATCTAAAAACAAAAAATGTATGAAAAAGCTCTTTTACGATATAAATATTTAGCTCAACATTAAATTTACCGAAAATAACTAGTTATTTCAAATCACAGATAAGTTGTCCTTGAAGCACCCAACCTAAACTCTCAACCTTCACCTATAAATACCCCTTTCTCCATACCTATGACCACCAGCAAGGTTTTCTTATCTACGAGGATCATTCAGTAAGTAATGCAACATACAGTATATCGTGATAAATGTTGAGGCATTTAATTTTATTTTTTCACAGATGAAAAGTTCTACTAATATTGTCTTAAAGACAGAAAGCCCCATGAATTTTCCTATTGTCTTCGCAAAGAAATGCACTTTTGAAATAAGCATGGCCACTACACTGAGTGGATGATCTCTGTCAAGAAAATAAAAATTACAGCGTATGCGAAAACTGCTTTTTACATAAATTGCCTAAGAACTCATATTTATGATATGATTTTATATGTAGAAAAAAGTTATCTTCAATGCTGTATACTTTTCAGATAGATACTGTAACTAAGAAGAAAAAAAGAGAATTTAAATATTACAATCAATCTAGCCGATTGAATTTAGGGGGGGGGGGGGGGGCTAAAAAATATCGATGTTATGTGCCACATGATACCTGAAATTTTTAATTTACCTGGAAAGACATCGTTAAGATACTAAACATTAAATCATCACGGCATTTTGTAGAATTTTGACAAAGAAAAAAAATTAACAATATTTCTATCAGATATGTGCCCTATTTTCTTACAAATGCCTTAGAGAAAACAATGCCGTAAATGTGGCAATGGTCTATTTAAATAATGTTGTTTTTTTCAATAGAAGATAAACTTGCTTGATAAATGACAAAATATAGGTGCACTTTTTTATAGCCGAAAATAAGAAAAAATGTGGAATCAAAGAAAAGGTGTTTTTTATTATGATAAAGAGAAGCAAATGCTCCAAACATGTTTTTTTTTAGTTTTCATGTATTTAGAGAGATCCATTAAAACATGTACTACTTAACTTTACTTAACGCAATTCAAATATGAAAGTAACCATTGCTATTCCTTTATTGATTTCTTGCCAGGGCAGTCCAAATTTCGGTGACCAGGGTATTTTCCTGTGCCTGACAACGCAGTTGCATATAAGCTTAGAGAAATAAATGAGATTTTGAAGAAAATAAAGTAAACGTAACTTTTCCATCGGTCATATTAGATAGATCTAAGACACTAGGAGATCTTTTAATTCCCAAAATTCATGAAAACAATGAAAGGAAGATTGTACAATGTCAGATATGTCGTGAAATATGATATTCGTCAGTGCCTTGGGGACATCCCTGAAGATGAGTATGCTGAGGTTTTCTGTGCATGGATACAAAGACATAATGCATATGTAAAGGGTAACAGGGAATGTCTTGAAGGATTGAAACTATTAAGAAGACATTTTATGTTCCTTTCTTATCTTTAGATGACATGTTGCATTATTTATTGAACGACCCTCGTATTATCTATTCTGTACCAGGTTTAAATGTCAAAGTAATCCGTTAACAGTAAAACTCAGTTCTTCTCGCAAAAGTCCTGAAAGGTAATTTTTTACACACTGCTATTTCCCAATTGTGACAATGAGCACCAGACTGTTATGACCAGTCGGTAGGGGATGATCACTCCTCCATTCCTTGCACCTGATCCCACCTTGGATTATTTTAGACGTCCACGTTTGCTCTGTTCCATAAGTGGTATTGTTTAATGGACTGTTCGATATCTCCATATATTTCATTATAAAAAGTCTTGATACCAAAATGTAAATAAATGCAGAACAAAGAACTGATTAAAGTTGTGAAGAAAGCACAAACAGGATAATAAACAATGGAAAATGAAGTTCCTGGGTGCAAAATATAAAGTAATTACGTGATAATATTAATATTGTTCGTGATAATTAATGAAAATGAATGACCTCAAGGAAGATAAACAAGACTTTCCTCTTAAGTTGACTTTAAAGATAATCTCCATCATTTTAAAAATATTCTTAACAGACTTTTTTTTTATCATATGCCATTCAAATTTGGCTGAAATACTGATAACTCGGATAATTGGGAAAAAAATGTTTCCTTCTTTTTCATGATATCATAAGGTTGTAATAAAAACATGGAAACAACAATTCAAAGAATGTTAAATAGCAAAATAAAATTTGTGTCTACGTCTTGAACAGTTCTTAAAATTCATAAAGTTAAATAATGAGTCAAAATCATGAGTTTCTTTTAAGAAACATAAAGTGAAAGATTTATGAAAATTATGAAAGCAAGAAAAGTCTGTTCCATACGTGAGCCGGTGTAAAGACGAATAATGACCCCCATCGAATAATGACCGGGGGTCATTTTTCGACAGCGAAAAATGACCCCCGGTCATTATTCGACGTAGAAAAATGACCCTTTTGCCCGTAGAAAAAGTGTCACCACCCTAAAAATTTGCAGAACCCACATGAAGAAAAATGACCCCCGTAGAAAAATGACTCCCTGTTGATTAAAACTGAAATTTTTAGGGGGCAAAAAAAATTAGATAAAGAAGCATATTTGCCAGAATGCTCACCTGAGCTTATTTGGAATAAATTGATGATATGTTGATCTCATAACATACGATTATAGCTATACCAGGTATTTTAAGGTCAATGCGATGATTCGGAATCAGAAGGAGTAAAGATTCATCGAGCCTAAAGGGTTAGGTAAACATTGTTTTTCGATGGTGGGAATCATCGTACTGACAGAAAAAATCAGCAGTATCATATATTATTTTATTCTCCGCTTGAAATGCGGGAGGGTATATGGTGATTGGGATGTCCGTCCGTCTGTTACGCTTTGGGGTATCCATCTGTTATCCGCAACTCCTCTTATATATAAAAAGATGTATTTGTAAAACAGCTATGCCCCTGTATGGTAACATAGCGAAGATTAAACTTTTCTGAAAGGCAATTTAAATATAATGGTACCCAAAGTAGGGTCTTCTCACAAGAAATACAATTGCAAAATAGGAAAGCCCTAGCACCACTTGTTCAAAATTAATGGCTAAGGATAAGTGTTTGAAAGGTAGGTCAAACTCAAAGGTCAAAGGGTCAAAGTTGATGGTTTCTTAAGAAAGGTTTAATGTAACAAGTATTACATTTGTGAAGTATGAGAGTACTAGTATCTACCGTTTAAAAGTTATAGCCAAAGTAAATTAATTAAAAATTTGGCATTTTTGTGTTAAATGGGACAAACTCCAAGGTAAAGGTCAAAAGGTCAAATTTGGTGGTACCCAAAGTAAGGTCTTGTCACAAGGAATGTACACATATTGAATATGAGAGACATAGCTACAATAAATGAAAAGTTATGGTAAAGGTTAAAGTTTTTGCGGAAAATCAGACCGCCAGATAGACAGACAGACATACAGACGGACACGATAAAACTATATACCCCCGAATCTTCGATTACAGGGACATAAAAAGAAATGGTCTTCAATTAACTTTTCATATTATGATACAGTATAAAGAAGACGTTACAAAAATGAAAATGTTTGTTCTGATTTTCATATTAAATTCTCTGAAAAAATATACTCAGAACTGGATAAAATCGTGGAGTAAAACAGAATTAAGAAATGTAATGAATACTGTGTGCTAAATCAAAAGGTTATGTCTACATGTATAGTTTTTGCATTGTAATGTGTATTTTATACTAATAGTTTTACAGAGCATATTTTAGGTGTTATACCCACCCACCCCCTTACTTATTTAGGAGGAAGTTGATTATCAACAAAAGCAACAAAAAACAAGATGTGTTTGTGAAACACTGATGCCCCCGTATGGCAACATAGGAAAACAATTGTGAAATTTGAAAGTAAGCCAATGTTAAAGCTTTTTCAATATGTACAAAAATCTCCAAGGTCAAGATCAAAAGATCAAATGTAATTGGTATCAAATGAAAGGTCTTGCCACATAGAATCCTTATGAAGAGTATGGAAGCCTTCGCCCTAACCGTTCAGAAGTTATGGCCAAGGTTAATATTTTCTAAAAGTAGGCCAAATTCCAAGGTCAGGGTCAAAGGGTCAAAGTTCTTGTTATCAAATGAAAGGTCTTGTCACAAAAATTAAATATGTTAAGTATAAAAGCACTAGCCCTAACTCTTTAAAAGTTATGGTCAAGGTTTGCTTTTTTGAAGTAGTGAAGCCTCAAAGGTCAAGGTCAAAGGGTCAAAGTTTTTGGTATTCAATGAAGGGTCTCCTCACAAGGATTACACATTCAAAAGTTATGGCCATGGTTAAAGTTTTTTCCCAAGTACGGGGATCTACAAGGTCAAGGTCAAAGGGTCAAGATTGTTGGTATCCAATGAAAGGTCTTTCAACAAAGATTACAGATGAGAAGTATAACACTCGGAGTTCCTCGGATGACTCGTACCTCGCACATAACCTCGGACGTCAACGGTGATCTACCATCTTGCTGATTCAGTCATGTGATCTTTTTTGAATTTCTTTCAAATGTCATAGCCTACAGCATAATCGAAGTTATTTTGTGGCACACTCAACAGTGTTTTCTTGCTTTCAAAGCCTATTAACATGAGGTTGTAATCAAAACCTGTTCACGAAAAAGAATTGCACAAATTAAGAAACATTTTCGACGAACATTATGCAGAGCGAAATATGAAATGAGTGATAAGGCAATTTCCGGCGGAGAAATGTAAGGATCTGATGCGTATTCCTCCACTAATCACATCCGAGGTTTGAATGGAGCGCAGCGGAGTCAGCCGAGGATTGCCGATTGGAAGTATAAATGTCCTGGTATCTACTGTTCAAAAGAGATGGCCAAAGTAAAAGTTTAAAATTTTAATGTTAAAGTGGGTCAAACTCCAAGGTCAAGGTCAAAAGGTCAAATTTGGTGATATCCAAAGAAAGGTCTTGTCACAAGGAATACACATGTGAAATATGAAAGTCATAGCTCCACTAAATCAAAAGTTATGGGTAAGGTTAAAGTTTTTGAGGACAAACAGAGGCAGAGAGACAGACAGACAGACGGACACGACAAAACTATATACCCCCGAAACTTCGTTTACGGGGGAATAAAAAAACTACCATACCTTTATTTTTCTATAAGGATGCACTAAAAATAAGCTTTAAATAATCTACTATTCTACTAATTTTCAACTGTTACTCTGCCACAATACTTTCAAGTATACCCCCACCAACATTTAAAGTATGCTTTAATCATGGCGAAGTAAATTATGACATGATTGAACTTGTGTGAAGGCTAAACTTCATTTCAATATTTTATTTAGAGTCTCTTTCAGTATTATTGAAAGGTATAGAGTTTTATTCATATTTTTGCTTTTCATTTATTTTTTGTTTGTTTTGATTTAAAGTAATTTTTTTTGGGGGGGGGGGTGTCAAAAATTTCCCCCTCTTTCATTGTCAAATAGGATTTGCCAAACTTATACAAGCTAAAAGTTGAAATGAAGGAAAAATTAATTTTTCTATTAAAGAGTAGTGGAATCTGATTGTTGCATGGTTTGATTTCTAAAAACAAGTGGAATATCATTCTTTAAGCAAACACTATAAGGAGGAATATTAAAAAGAAATTTTATTTACTTGACAATTAAAGAATCTCTTTTCACTTTAAAGGGGGTCATTTTTCAATGGGGGTCAATTTTTTATAGGACTAACATATAAAATAATGACCCCTAGGACACTTTTTCTACAAAAAATGATTTTTTTCTACGGGTAGAGGGTCATTTTTTGTCTTTGAAAAATGACCCCCGGTCATTATTCGATGGGGGTCATTATTCGTCTTTACACCGGAAAAACACAGGTTTTGTCTACTGTTTCCTTGTTTTCGTGTATGTTAAGGTCACGACACTATTATTCGTGACCTAATCCCATTTCTGATATTTCGGAGGTCCGTGTTTGCTCTGCTCCTATTTTGTATTGTTTAATGGACTTTTGAGCTTGAATACTGTTCGTTATTACCATAAATTCCATTTTAACTTAAACTTATAACATTCAGTTTGAACATGCAAAGGTGAGAAATGTGTTCAAGTACAATCTTTTCAAAAGGCTTGGTTTACCAACATTCATTTTGTGGTACTTGAGACCATAGCTACTTCTCTAACTTTTTTCATCAAATGCGAACAACAGGGAAGAAAAAGTAAAACAATATTTTCGTGTTGGAGCTAACGCAAGTTATTTTTACTTACGTTTTTCTCCATAAAATAGATTTTTTTTTTTAGGTTTTGAAACCTGTAATTTTCTAAACAGTTTCTAAACCTATTACTTTAAGGAATTTTACAAAATTTGCCCTAGTCACGCAAAAGTTTTACGTTTGTCAACATTCCATTTTATCACTGTTTCGTTCCTGTCACATTGTGCAGTGACTTGGCGCTTGCTCAAGAGCGATGGAGAATAATTAGTTGATCCTTACGTTGGCTGGTTTGAATCTTCTGCGTGCCTTGGATACAGATCCTTCGGATGAGACCGATTTATTTTTGATCGATCAATTTTCGTTATTTTCACCCTTTACCTAAACCGATATCCTGTGTGGCAGTTAAGTGAACATTTGTTGAAAAACCATCAAACAAATATTTGAGGTGCCATTATTAGAGGGGACAACCCTTGTAGTTATACAAGAGCTACATGTCAGTACAACTGACAGACCGGATGCATTTCGTAAAATAAAAATTTAAAGAATATTGGACTATCAATATTGTTTGTGTCGTTGCTTTGTAGAGATTTTTTTACGTGACGTTGTGTATCTTTTTTTCCTAATTCAGCTCAGGTAACAGGGCAGACATGTACATTATTAACAAAACCCTTTCGAAATGTAAATAATTCAACTTGAGCAATCGTTGTGAAATAAAAAATGTCAACGAGAGAACGGAAAGAGGAAGGAAGTTCATATATTTACAATCATCTTAGAAAGGTTTTGTGTACAGTTTTTTTTTTTACATCTGATATCACTGCATTGTAAATGGATCATGTAGAAGTTGGTATTTTTGTATTCTGTTTAATTTTTAAAACACTGGAATATGAGAAAGCTTTTATTTCTTTTTCTACATTTTGGAATTATAAATAACTTGATCAGACGTGTTCAGTTGTTTCCTACAGGAGTATGCAAGTAAGTCAAAATCGAATTTAGTGCCTTTGAATACCTTTACGGTCTGTGTAACATTTAGCAATTCAACGTTCTAAAAATGATCTGGAATTGTAGAATATTAATATTTTTGTAGTATATATAAATTCAAAATTTTAGTTCAAAAATCTATATTTTCAAATTTCTAAACACGTTTTGAAGAGTTGACATTTTAGGTTTTTATCATAAATATTCGTAAATTTTCTAAAACAAGCGATTAGGTAAAAAAGTCAAATGTTTAAAATGCAAAAATCGTTTTTGGAAATTTGAATTTTGAAAATGTAAAATTTAAATTTAAAACTTCCAAATTATATATAAAGGGTATGTCGCGAGAAAATTCATTTTTGATACAACAACAATACAGATTAGGACTTATCAATGGTGTCAATTTCAAAATAAATGTAAAAGAATGATTCTCTGATTAGTCCATTAAAAGTTAAAAATTAGAATATTACTGATATAATTGTTACAAATTTCATATTTAATTTAATTGATATTTATTGAGACATATATTTCGACATTTTTTTCTTACGGTTACTTTGAAAGATATCATAGAGGGGTGTTAAATAGCATAAAAACAAACAGAAGGTATCCTATACTAGTATTTAGGGACATAATATATCATAATGTTAAAAATGTTGACAGACTCTATAAGTTGTAAAGTCCTTGTTCTGACACGAAATTGTCCTGGGGTTTTTTCGTTTGCCCGACCATTATAAGGAGCACACAGTGTATAACCGATCGAAAGTGGACGTTCTCTCCTTTATCACACCTGTTACTACTTTTTTTTTTGTTTTTGTTTCTGTTCTTTTTGTTGCGTTTGTTTTAATTGTAATTTACGGTCCTTGTTAGCTTTGCGTCACATTTACATTGTTCCTAAGGACTTTTGAGCTTGAGTTTTATGCTTTATCTTCATGAACCATCAACATTTTGCAGAATATCTCCTCTGAGTTGCTGTCCCAGTTACCACTTAAATGAGGCTGGTGATCGCTGTGAAGGTATGTGCTGTATTTCATTTATTTCTATTTTAATGAACGGTCTTTTAGCAAGACCTAAATCAGTATATCAATATAATATTAATTTTTTGTCTCTATGTACATATATCTTCCTTTTGTTTGACCTGTTACATTTAGGTTTACTTTTACTTAAACAGAGTGTGAACCTGGCTTCTATAAATCTAATTGCTCAAGTAAATGTCCAGAGGGGTTTTTCGGTGAACTTTGCATTAATGAGTGTAGATGTAAAGATGGCCATGTGTGCGATCATGTGATTGGGTGTAAAGATGGTAAGTCTGCGATGTCGGTGTGTACACACGTGATCATATTGTATGTTCAACACATTTCCTTGGTTTAAAATTAACCTACTTCCTCCAAATACTAGTATATATGTACTTGGAATAGTATTATGTATATTTCGTTTCAATTTCACAAAAAATAAATTTTAAGAAAACTATTTTAAAAATCTCAGTCATGATTTGTTTTTTAATTGGTAACTAAAGAGCTGTATAATTTAGCCGCCTGATAAATTTTGCGAATTATTTAGAATCATGAATGACCATAAGCATTGATATGTCACTAACATGTTGGTTATAAAAGCAAGACAAGAAATATTTAGGAAATAAAAGTGGGTGATAAAAATCACTGTATGAGTTGAATAATTTGAAGGTTTATTAAGCATCGATTTAAAGAGGAAGTCATGACTAAAGATTTTTTTTATTATGAACATAAACATTTGCTAAACTCTAATTATAGATTTAGGCACAATTTCCTGTTATTCCTCTTTGATTCTCATATTTTGATACATTTTGCCAGACATTTGGATTATTTGATATGAACCTAGTTTATATCATTTTGATTTTAGTTTCAAGCACTGGGAAAGCATCAAGTCAAGGATATTGTCCGTAAGTATTAAAATATCTCTTGTCAAAAACAAAATTTTCAGATCCATGCAACTTCACCTTGCTTACGTAATTAAATTAGCATTTTACAGTTCTATTTAAATGTTTGAGGGTCTCTGATAGGGATCTATAAAATATGTAAAGATAACGAACATCGTTTGAGAGAAAAGTCCATTGAACAGTCCAAAACATCAGAGGTGGGATCGGGTGCAATGGAGGAATGAACATACCCTGCCAACCGGTCGCACCCGCCTTATGCACATTGTCATGATCGGGAATTAACAGAAAAAAATCTCGGATAACTCAGTGTGTAAATAATGACATTGCAATCAGTATAAAAAAGTCAGTCAGCATTTGACTTAATGGTAAATTGTACTCACTGACAAGGTCATTATATCGACTATATACCTTAAGGAATGACGATTTTAAACAAGATAGCTGATATTCTTGTTTTATCAACTACGTTTCTAATAACCTACTGCGTTTTAGAAAATGTTCATACTAGAACATGCTCTTCCGTATCGAATTAACCGAGAGATATCAATGAAAGTTGATGGTTAAAAAGCTAAAGACATCAAGTTTATCATAAAGCTTTGTTGTTAGATAACAAAAACGTCTTTTTTAAGTAAAAGATCCAAATATGAAACAGATGTGTCAGACTCTGTGGTATCTATTATTTCAAGCAAATCGAGATATATTGTGTCCACATAAGAATGGAGATAACCACTGATAATTGACAATACATCTCCGATATATCTAAATGTTGATTTGAAGGCCACGGCAAGTGTTTTTTCTTCTTTTCACGTAAAGAATTTTGAACAAATTCTGTTTCATATGAATACAATAATAGGTCTTCTAATAACAGGGGGGCATAATGTGGTACCCATTGAAATCCAAATGGATTGTTGGAAGTCCTGGTCTTCAAAGACCACACAGATATTGTCAATCAGAAACTCGAGCATCTTTTCAACTTCAATTTTAGAGTACTTGTGTGTACAATCGGAATGTTTTTTACCAAAGTATTTTTGCAAATGAAAGTAAATTTACAATTCCATTCATTTTTGTTGATAAAGCAGCTGTCAATTATGTCAGACAGCTTAGACTTTAATTTATCTTGCAGAATAGGTGTATATAAAGTTGAAAATCTTTAGTTTTTATGGTTTTGGTTTCGGTCAAATTTTGTGATTTCAAATGTTCCAAAAGTTCCTTTGATCTACGTCTGATTTACACCATTTTCCGAATATATTGTTTAACAGTACTCTTGAAGTTTCTCCTTCGCTACGAACTGAAAATATCTTAGTAAGGCAAAGAAAGAGACTTGGTAGAACATTTACTGGAACCCGCTATGTTTGTTGTTTGTAAGGATTTTTATGATAATGAAAATATAGATATGGTAATTCAAATTCATTTTGGTTGTTTGGAATATTAAAAATATCTAAAACTGAGGAAGTTATGAGTGTAAGTTGAACTGTCACTTGTTGAATGAAATCCAAGTTCTCCAGAAATACATTTTTAATGAGCCTTACAAACAAAGAGAGTTTTGCTAATTGCTTTGTCAGCAGGGACCAATACGTACTAATCATGTATTCTATCTAATTCTAATTGTAAATCACATTTAGACTCGCATTTGCTAAAGAAAGTTTTGGTATATTGTTCCCCTTGTCCTTCCGTTTGTCTGTCAAACTTTCTTCTCGTCCAAAATTTTGTTTGCTTTAAGAAGTCACTAATTGTTATCTTTTTAGATATGATAGGTGTTGTCCAATAAATTTGCCATATAAGCTTTTCTGAATTCCTTTTTTTTTTTTTTTTTGTTCCGTTTTTTTTTTTTTTTTTTTTTTTTTTTATCATGCAGCATAAAACTAATTGCAAAATAATTCATACTGTGATAAAGGAATGTTTATGGCACCAATAATAGTTTTGCTTTAAAGACTGGAATCTGAACTATTCTCATACACGCACTTTCTAAGAAAATTCAGGTATATTGTTATTATCCTTGTCCGTGCTTCATCTGTCACCTTTCCTCTTCCTCAATTCAAATTACTCGTGAAATTAGTTAAAGCAGCAGTAAATATGAAAGTTTGCATCCTGTAAATGCGCAATAAATTTCGTAATTTTCATTTTCATCCAAATTATCCTGACAGACAAATAGAGGTAAAAATAATGATTTTTTGTTTATAGAAACCATATCCTTATAACACCTTGTGTATATGCATATTCCGTAATCAGATCATCTTTTGGGGGTTGAGTGGTGGTTTCCTTAGAATTTTAAAAGAGGGATAGTTGAGGCAAATATGGCAGAGAAACGGATGTTCCCTGTCTATACTAGTAAATAATAGTTTCCCTATATATACTAGTAAATACAGAACAATGAATGGAAATAGTATCAAATCTAGATTGAAGCATATTTAAAGGGACCTCTTTGATATTCAATATGATAACACAACAAACTTAATTTAAGAAAATTATTAAACTCAAACTGCATATTTTACACGTTGAAAAAGATTTTCTCCGTCGCTTGCAAAAAGTTTTTTTTTATGTGACAGGAAACCATTTCTTTTTCCTTTGAAATATTTGGTGGACGTTGTCTTCTACAGTTAGGTGATGTAATAGAAAATAAATCAATTCACCGCCATCTTTGAGATTTCGACTCGATTAATTATGCTATAACGGTATGCAGACCAGCAAATTAGGATATCATCTCATGAACGTAACAGGGAATATTTTATTTCTAGTTTCTTTTTTTTATCTGTATTCTTTTTAAAATTGTAAAAGTGTTTTACTCATTAATGTATTAGAGAGCAATATTTTTCAACGGACCACAAAAGTCTCTAGTGATAAAACACCCCTACATCTTGTGTCAACCAAAGTGGTTAACTTTTTTCCACAGCACATATATGGCATTTTTTAAAGAAAAGTGGCAAACAAATCTTATACGTGTAAAGAAGAAAACACTTGATGTGGCCTTCAACTTGACAATTAGATTTATCGACGACTTAATGTCAATTAACAATGGTTATTTCCATTCTTATGTCTATACAATATGCCCCGGTGAGCTTGAGATAAGATACCAAAGAGTCTGACACATCTGTTTCATATTTGGATATTTTACTTGAATAAGTCGATAATGATAATACAACAACCACACTCTGTGATAAACTTGATAAATTTAACTTTTCAATCCTCAACTTCCCTTTCTTATGCAGCAATATACTTGCATCACCTGCATGCTGAGGTTTTCGCTCTGTTTATTAGATGAACAAGAGCATGCTCTATGTAAAACGAAGTAAATTATTGACAGACAAGTTGATGAAACAAGGATATCAGCAGTCTCAGAAGTTATACGGTTCATACAATGATCTTGTCAGCAAATACAATTAATCATTGAGTCAAATGCTGACTGACGGTTTTGATATAAATGTCAGTTCATTATTTACACACTGAATTGATTACGTATTTTATGGAGGTCTGTGTTTGCATTGCTCCTATTTTGTGTTTTTTTATGGACGTTTATGCTTGAAAAACTGTACGCTGTCTCCATATGTTTCATGTAAAATGTCTATAGCTTTAGATATATACAAATAATACCATAATATGTAATTTGTGAATTTGGTATTTTAAGTTTCCATTATTGAAATTAATGACATCATAATAATCTTTTTTTTTCTGAGGAAAATTTTCTCTTTAACTTTGAACAATGGAGCAAAGAGTCACTTATATATATATATATATATATATAAAAAAGTGTGTTATTCACCTGTAATATGAGAAAACAAACCTTTTTATCTTTATAGTGAGCATTCTATTTCATAATTAATTTTGCACTTGTGAGATGGAATTTTAAAGAGTTTTGTCATAAGTTAGAGATTTAATTTTCACCTACTTGTTTATTTCACTATACGCATATCGCTTTTCTTGTTCTTCCATCTTCTTTGGAGACTGAAAATTTAGTTTTTGTGGGTTTTTTCTAAATAATTTGATAACATTTTCTTTTTCTCATTGTCAAAGTTTGATTTTACGTACTTCACAGAAAAAACGAAAATGGATGCTGTGTAAACTATTACAATAAAAGCAACACGTGCATAGGTATGTATATGTAAACATATGTCAGATTTTTAGAATCATGCGTTTAAGTATTTGAAGACATAGTAAAGTAAAAAAAAGGGGGAAAAATGCATTTTTGTTTCTGTTATTCTCATTCTCCCCAGACTACTTTTTTTAAAAAAAAGGATATAGTAGTGATATATAATATTATATCAATATAATATCGCTCGTGTCATATACAAAAATATGCCTATCAATTTACACTTTCTCTTATTGACAGCCCTTCAAAATATCCTAAAATATTAACATTTGAAACATTTATCATCATCTTTCTAAATATATATTCAGTAATACTGTTATACATCAATTGTTTTCAGAGTGTCCTCCGGGATATTATGATAACAACTGCTCTAAACCCTGCCCACCAGGATACTTCGGAAGACGTTGTGTCTCTAGGTGTACATGTAACCTGACGCTGTGTAACAGCGTGACTGGATGTAGTGATGTGAGCACAGGTACATTTTATTTTCAAGAGCAGTATTCCGTGGGGTTTAATATTGAAACATTAATTCCTTTTTATAAACGTAAAATGAACCTTTCGATTAAAACAAAATTAATATTTTTAGCTCACATGTATCAAGAATAGAACTAAGCAAAAACTTTGTAAAGAAAATCTATGAAGTTCTGATGATCTATTTCATAGAACAATCTTAAGGTCAGACGATACGTTCCTCAAATATCTGTTTTGTAAATCTTCATAATGTATGAAAAATATTTAAAAAAATTAATTACCTTTTGATTACTTAACAGGTAAAATTTCATAAAATCAAAAAATGTAATATTGGCAAATTAAGTATTTTCATAACAGGGTTATATAGAAAACATCATCCTTTGCTATCTTGCACAAATGCCTGATAATGTACATCAATTTTTGGTAAATATGTAGTAATAATAAAGTAGTAATAGTTCATTGATAAAATGTTGGGAAAAAATTATATACTATTGGGGAACATCTCGTATGTCCTTAAGTGGATGTTCAGCCATCTTGGATAATATCTGGTCTGAAGTTGGAAACACGAAGAATGTACTAAATGTAGCAATGCCTTGATTAATGATACTCGAACTGCCTATCATCTACTACAGAGACCAAATTTACTGAACAATTGATCTTTTCTCAAATATTAATAAAATGGCTTCTTTTATTCTTTCTGCATTTTTCTTTTTCATTTACCACAATTCTTGAAAATTCTATTTTTTGAAAGTGATAATTATATTCAGTTATACTTATTTATATTCTCCTTCGCTTTTAGGAAATGTTTATTCTTTGTTCTATGTGCACTTAAAATTGCGAGACACTCCAATTAGAATATTTTTAACAAATATATTGAGTGAATTGATACATTGGCAGTCTGTGTGCTACTCTTACAGCAAGATAGGTGCACAGAAAATGGTATATAAAATATGGTAAAAGATTTTCCTTTTCATTATTTTTATAGAAGAAAACTATTTTACAGAAGACCCGCTTTTATCATGGAAGGGATATTTGTTGCCAACAGTGACTGCGGTGGGAGGCCTAGTCGTACTTCTTCTTATTTTTGGAGTATTCTTTTGTTGTAGACGAAGGTTTGAATCTTATTAGATAAGCAATCATTCTAAGTATAAATAAATGCAAATTATCTGAGAATCTTTTTCACAGTAACAATGTTTAAAAATGTGAAACTGTATTTTGATTCTGTAACAAAGGGTTTTCCAAACATTTTAATAAATAAATAATGTTGATTAAAAAATATTTTTACAGGAAAATAAAGGAAGGATATGAACCAAAGCATATAAATAGTAAGTACATACTTCTACAAAAACCATTAAAATTATCTGGTTAAAGATTTCCAGTTATCATAGAGATTTCAGAGTAGCCCTCAGAACTTAGGTAGAACTGTATTAGGCATGTCACAATTTTGTTTAAGGTCGAGCTCTAGCAAATAAAAGGTTACTACAGATTTTTCAAATTTGAGGAACGAGTTCTTTTAATGATTCCTTTACAAATATAGCTTAATAAAATAAGGTGAAATTAGGGGTCATAATTTTTTTTTTTTTTTTTGATAAACAAGACGAAAAAACATATTTTCAGCTGTAATTTTAAATGAAAAATGAAGAAAGTCGGGTATGAATTTCGTAATTGTTTTCCTTCTCAAATAAAAGAAGTGTATCAATATTGCCTACAGTCTCTTAGAAAATGTTTTTTCGTTTCTTCTAAACCTCTACTTCAGAATGATATCAAATTGAATATAGATATCGGGGATATTTTTGACATGATTTCAAATTAAATACAATGAAAATGCTTCATTTTCTACATAATTCTATTACAGCCGTAAAGTACGGGAAAATTTAAGCTTATATAAATTATGAAGTCAAAATTGATCTAGTAACAAAAAGACAGTGTAAAGTCGTTTATTAGATCGTGACCTTAATTTATTCTGCTATTACATTAATATACATTTTATTTTATATTCTCTGTTTAAAAAATTAGAAAAACTAATGAAATATTATTTTTGCAGGCCTTCAGTTTATTACATTTACGCTAACTTTTATCTTTAAATTGTTTTTCAATTTTATTGTATTGCTTATACGCTCTCTGATTTTTCGATCTCTCATTCTGTTTAAAAAGATAGGGGTCGGTTTTTAGTCCTTTTTTAATGAAGCGTCACAGCCTTTTCTTTATATCAATTAAGAATTATTGAATTTCAAAAATCTTCAAAGGACAAGACTTGATGAAACATAAGTGACAGTTTTGTGAGATTGTAGTTTCATAAAAATTATTACACCCAAGGATAAGATGGAGCTACGATAACATATTCAAGGAAGGATATGGAGATAACGAACAGTATTCAATCTCAAAGTCCATAAATCAATACAAATTAGTAGCAGAGAAAACACGGACCTCCAAAACATCAGAGGTGGGATTAGGTGCCATGGAGGAGTGAGCATCCCCTGCTGACTGGTCACATCCGCCGTATGTTCCTTGTCATGATCGGGAAATAACCGAAAAATCCGTCGTCAATTCAGTGTATAAATAATGGACTAACAATTAGTATGAAAAACGTCTGGCAGCACTTGACTCAATGATAAATTGTATTTGCTGACAATGTCATTGTATCGACCATAGAACTTACAAAATGATGACTTTAAACGAGAATGCTGATATTATTGTTTCATCAACTTGCTTGTCAATAATGTACCTCGTTTTAGAAATTGTTCATACGTAGAGCATGCTCTTGCGTGTCGAATCACCTGAGATTTATATACTCCGTATGCAGGTGATGAAGGTATATTGCTGCATAAGTAAGGGAAGCTGACAATAGAAACGTGAAAGTCATCACGTTTATCATATAGCTTGGTTGTTAGCTTACCATTAACGTCTTTTTCAAGTGAAATATCCAAGTATGAAGCAGATGTGTCAGACTCTGTGGTATCTTTTATCTCAAGCTCACCAGGATATATCGTATCGACGTAGGAATGAAAATTACCATTGTTAATTGACAATACGTCGTCGATACATATTCAAGTCATATCAGGAGATATACTAAATAAGGTTCAAAATATATAAGTAATCATCTCAAAAAAGAAAAGTAATAATAAAACATATCAATAAGTTATAATATATTATTGATATACAAACATATCCCCGGGAACTGAAGACGTTTATTAAATGCGTTTAATTCCCGGGGTAAGGGTAAGGCCAAATTAAAGGAAAGAAGTTCGACATAGGAGAAATCTTTTAAAATCAAATCAAGAACAATTTCATATGAAGTTTGAACTTTTTAAATACACATGTATTCTTAGATAGTGTTGATCCAAGTTTGTTCAAATCATGATTGTGGAAGGGGAAGGGACAGCAAAATCAGAGCAAAGTTTAACATAGGAAATTACCATCCATAACTACCCACGGATTTTTTCAAAAATTGAATTATGTACCCCAATGAATAAATAAGGTTCACAATAATTGTAAATTAAATTTTGGTTTTGAGCTCAGGTATATCCACAATATTTGATCTTTTTTATGGAAATAAAGAGGATAGAGATCTTTTTAAAATCTCCTAAAGATCAACAGGACAAAGATGTTAAACTTATTGACTTTTTGTTTAATTTATATCTCAAAAGAATTGAATTCACTTTAAGGGAAATCCTTTTTATACACAGATGCCTCTCAGCGGCAGGCTTCCTGTAGGGAGGACCAGGCCGGGAGGAGGCAATGTAACACCCGAGAAACCCCGCCCTGTGAACCACGTGTAACCTGCGGAGAGACGAGTGGATTCTTCCCAGATAATTCTGAAAATCCGTATGCACAAATTTCGGATACAGCTAGACTGATGCCAAGAACAAAGCATACCCCAAAGGAAGTCGGTCTTCCAAAAGCCCCAATGACCACGAGTCAACCCTCTGCAAAGTGTGAAGATTTCACCTCATACGATGTTCTTAGTTTGAAAGCTAAAGGCAAAAAATCGGACATGTGTTTAAATAAGCAAATGCAAAAGACAGAGTTCTCAGGAGTTAAGTATTCTAAGAACTCTCTGCCTCCTATTGTAAAAAATAAACCTCTACCGCCAATTAATTCACCCAATCCTGACAAGCGGAAAAGTTTTCTTTTTCCTGAAGACACATCTGATTATCTGACACAAGAACCACTTCTTTCAAATGATAGATCTAGTGAAGCGGAAATAAAGGCACTTCCGCCTCCCCCAGCGCCCCCATCTGCTCATAGCAATGGTTTCCGCTATAAACCTAAGAAAGGAAAGAAACCACCCCCTCTTCCAAGAAAACCACCAAGTAATTCGGATATCTATCGCGATGACAGCAATAGCGAGGGCAACGCTGCACACGATGGTACAGTGAGCATCAGAACAGACAATGAAACAGAAAGTAAAAGTAAAAATAAGAGAACCAGTTCCTTGATGCCAAAAAAATTTCTCAGAAATGAACCTTCAATGAAAACTACCCTTAAAAGGGATATGCTTAACAGACGGAAGACGAATGGCATGTCGTACAATCTATCCGGTCTGTTAGATGTGGACGAAATGCCACCACCTGAATTCAGTGACGACGAAGAAGCGAGGGGTAGTGCCCAGCCCCAGTATCCGGGGGCTGAGGTTCACATGAACCCCCTACGGAAGTGTCAGACTGTCATAAAGAACAAGATGAATAGAATAAGTGCACTTAAGTTCGCGAGTAGTACCTTGGACAATCTTAGATACAGCTTTGCACGACCTCAACATTAGCTTCAACAGAGTGAAAATAAGAACATTGCAAACCCTTTTGTTCAAAATATACTTAATTTCGATATATTGAAATGAAATTACACATCTAATCCTATTGATTTCTTTGATATAAGCATAAATCATTTGTTGTCGATATTAAATATTTTGTCGACTAAGTCTCCAAAGTGCGATGGTCTGCGCCAAACCCCGACGGCTTACTGTCTTTACGGACGCCAAAGTCCGATGGTCAAGCCAACGTCCGATGACTCGTTTCCTACGAGACACGTTGCGCTAAAGTGCGATGGTATGACACGTCAAAATCTGATGGTGCGGAGAAACAGTCAACGTTTATGACGTCACAATATATTTGACGTCAAAAATTGACGCCGTCGTCCTGCATTCAAAAGCCATCATATCTGAATTCGTCCTCGAATACAATTTTATTGATTTTGTATATTGATTGCACCTTCCAGAGATATTAGGGTTGGTCCTCACACACCACTTGACTGATTAGGGTTCGTCCTTGCATTGCACAACCCGAGATATTTAAGATAAGTCCTCGCACACTATAGTCGAGTGATTAGGGTTAGTCTTGCACCCACCCAAGATATCTAGGTTATTGTTAATACACACTTTTCGAGCATTAGTCTCGCGCACATATATGACAGATAAGGGTTAGTTTTCGCATTTATTTATACTTATTTCTAAGACCTTGGCATGGCGCGGCATTGAGGTGTGGCGCAGTGGCACTGTGACTTAATAAACGTTAATTGATTTCCGCACCATCGGACTTTGGCGTGTCAGACCATCGGGGATTGGCGCAGACCATCGGACTCTGGCGTGACCATCGGATTTTGGATTGCCGTTGCACTTTGGAGTCCTACAAAAAACAAAAAAATTAAAAATACCATATCTCACCGTCCAGAAAAAAATATATCTTTATGACTCCCCTATAAGACGGACATAGGGTTTTGGACCAAAAATTTAACTCCCAAAAATCCGACTTATAGGCGAGTATATACGGTAATTCATTAGAAGGATAAAGGAAAGATCTAGCCTAGTTTTTGACATTGAAGAAGTATTGGACTAATCTTATTTTTGTTTATATGTTTTCAAAATACATTAAAAATAAACTTAATGTTTATGTGGTATCGTTTTCCTTCCGTAAGTTCTTCCTTATTGTATGCAATTAAACTGAAGGTTTATCTCAGATCAACTTAATTAGCACTAAGTAAAGTATTATTGAAAACACTCAAATCAGAGCATGTATATGATGTTTAAGACTGAACGACAATTTCAAATACAGGTTTAATAGGTGCCTCTCGAATTGCAGTACACTTATAAATTCTATGTTTATTATCAATATATGTTTGTATTTTATTGTTTTTCCTGAAATCTTTTAACATGAAACATATGGGGATAACGAACAGTATTCAAGATCAAAAATTCCATGAAGCAATATAAAATAGGAACGGAGTAATCTGTATAAGTAAGGGAAGTTGTCAATTGAAAAGTTAAAGTCATCATGTTTTTCAGAGAGCTTGGTTGTTAGATTACCAATAATGTCTTTTGTAGTAAATAACATTCCGTCTTTAATATACACAAATATACTGTCAAACTTCATTTGTAAAGTATATTTATTTAATATAAAGGGTGTTAATAAAGTTCGTTCCACATTTTTCTTTTATTTTCAAAAAGAAATCCGATGAGAATATATTAACAATTTGTGATATTTCATATTTGCAGAGTCCATTCTTGCTACTGATAAGGTTTTAACTGTCTTTTGTTGAATCAATAAGGAGAGGGCAGGTATTAAAACAGATGATGTCTGTTCAGAAAAATTAGGGATGACGCATATTTGTGACATATATTAAGCAGACAGGTCAAAACTTCCTTTCAAATATTATGCAAAAATTATCAAATCTGTGGAGAATTCCAAAATGACAAACCTATTGTATTGAAAAGTGATCTATCGTTCTTATACCTACATTCGTCAGCTTTTCTGATGGAAGATAAGCTATGAAGAAACAACAGGGAATTATCCCTATTTTCACCCAAATGACCAGCATTTCTATCATTTGGGTGCTTTAAAAATGTAATATGTATTTTCATATGGAAGAAAAATCCTATAAGTTCCTACTGGAAATGAATTGCTATAAATCTAAAGCACACTCTTGTGATTTTTTCGGACTTGAAAATTCGTCTCTTTAGTTATGCACTACTTTGAACTTTTTGAAAATATTTCATCCTGGAACGAACTTTCTTAACACCCCTTAGAATCTTGTGAAATGTTAAAGGTAGTGAGAATTTTAAAAATTAATTTTGACTGAAATAAAAATTCATAAGTGAAAGGTGAATTTATCAATTTTAATTTATAATGTTGCCTATGTAGGAAGATAACCTTTCATATTTATAATGCATTTGAATGAGAGAAATTTATCGGGTTTTCTTTTTAAAATATGTTTCAATTGTTTCACTAAGCTAGATTTTTTCGCGATCTTTAAGGATTTTATACTTTGAAGTTTCCTTCAGGATTTTTCTAATGATAAACCATGATGTTTACCATTTAAACATTCAACTGTATATGTAATTATATAAAGGTTTGTATTTTTCCACAAGAAAGGAAGTACTGATTCATTAGATTGTTGTACCAGATCGGCAGATTGAACGCACACCTGCATTGATTCAAGCTATGTAGTGTTATTCTGAGGAGTACCTGTTTATGGTATAAACTGATAACTCTAGAACTTGTCATTGACTCAAGTGGAGACCCTTTTCATAAATCTGATATTTCAACTAAACACGAACTTGTTCATTAATTCCTCTTGGGCACTTTTATCACTCTTAAAGACAAACATTTCCAAATATTTCAAGAAAAACATTCATAAAGATTTTTCCTCTTTTCAACATTGTTAAGCCTACCTAATCAGCTGAAAGCTCGAGTTAGCTTTTCAAATCATCGGGCGTCCATCTGTCTGTCTGTCTATCCGTCCGTCTATTAACCTTTCACATTTTCTACTCCTCAAAAATTAACCAAAGTTAGTACAAGCACCCTTACGGCAAATGAGATTCTTAATTGTTAAGATAAATGGCCAAGCCTTTTTCCAAGGGGGAAATAATCAAAAAAGGCATTAATTTCGTGGGTTTTAAAAAAACCTTCTCAAATACCACTGGGCCAGAAAAACTAAAACTTATGTGGAAGCTTCCTTAGGTGTATTAAATTTTTTGTTCAATTAATGACCTTTGGAGTTGGTTTGGGCTTCAATAGCGATTTCAAAGTTTAACATTTAAATATATATAGGACATTTTTTTCAAATCCTCCAAAGAATCATTGGAGCAGACGAGCTAAAACATACGTGGACGTAGTGTTAATCATGTTAATATTAAATTGTTTAATTTGACCCCAAATGGTAGGATCTGAATGTGACATGCAATCAAACTTTAACACTGAAACAGAATTTTTTTTAAAAAATCTTTTTCTCAAAAACCTCTAGATAAAAAAGCGAATCTTATGTGAAAGCTTACTCAGAAAGTGAAAATAATAAAGTGTTTAAATTAAGGTTCAAAGGGATAAGGTTGAGTCACAATTAGAGAATTAAAGTTACAAAGTGAAATATAGAGAAAAAGTCTTTTTCTCAATAACCATTGGACCAGGAAAGCTTAATCTTATGTTGAAGTTTTATGAGTTAAGCTAGTTTGAAAATTATTTACATCATGTTCCAAGGAAGGTAAAGTAGGGCCATAAGAGGGATTATATAGGGAAAACATTTCCCTATATCTCAAATCAATGAAAAATTGTATAAAATGTGAAAGATCCTCTAGTAGTGTAGATCCATTTTGTTCGCACAGTCCCTGTGTATAGGATGCAGTCACAACAGATGGTGAAAAGTGCAAATACATGGATGTTAGGGTAAAATCTGATTCAGAACAGTAGGACCAAAAACACCCATGTTAGCGTTGTGGCCTGTTGACCTCTTGTTTTGATAAATTACAATTATGAATTAATGTGAATTAAGAATCCTCAAGGTATATAAGTAAATTTTTTATATTAAATCTAAATTTAAATAGATTTCCTTGTTCTAGATGAGAAAAAGGTTTGTACGTACTTTGCTTCCTTGAGTGGTATAATGACTAAGCGCTTACAGTTGTATATGATCCTTATCAGTGAAGTACAGCTTATATTGTATCGTATTCAACACTCTCACGGAGGCCCATAACCCGCTTCACTCACCTGAATAACCTGGTTCGGTTGACCTTTAGAGCAAGATATCCAACAAACTTTTCCTTTTTATTCTAAGGAAAAAAAATATACACCAGACAGCGACCAAGACCTTGCTTTAAGGGTCATTACCGGTACTTAAGCAAACTTGATTTAAGGTATCCGATCCATATCAGCCTCAGATTCAATGGAATTGAATGCATAATAGATATGTATGGGATGAATAATCAGTGTAGTTAGAACTAATTTTCATCTTTTAGTATAAGAATGTAAGAGTGGGACATGTCCTAATTTATGACCTTTTCCTGCCCTTGACGAGTGATTTCCCTTTGATTTTACTCAATAAAAATTCATTTTTAAAAAATCTGACTGGTAAAAAAAATTATTTCTAATTGTTTTTTTATTCCCAATGATCAAATACATCTTTCCACCACAGCATTTTTTTGATATTTGAAATATCTATTTTTTTATCTTAAAAAACTTACTTCCTTCCATAGATTTCAATACAATCTTCGATAATTAATTTCTGCTTAGGTAATAAAATTGTTGAAAATTTCTCTTGGTAAATCCCTTTCTTCTCTAAAATGCTTTAAAATAATATCGGGATATTTTACAAACAATCGATATTTAAGGTTAGAAATTTTGGTCCTAATATGGGTCGGATACCTTAAAACAACCTCGGATATGCCTCAATATTCAAATGACTCTCTGTTTTTGGAGATGGTTTAATTTCTATCTACATATTGAATAATTTGACCCCAATTATGGCAAAAAATAAACAACGTTATTCAGCGTTGATGCGTTATGAATAGAATTACTCTGCTTGGATGATACTGAACTATCATAATTATTAATATAAACTTTTATTAGAGAAGGTTATTTTACAGTATCTAATAGCCGTATAGGGCGGAATTTGATCCCATTTTTTGCCTTATTCTAACAAGAGAACCTTAGTAAAATAAGCATATGAACACAACTCGGTAATGTTTGTATTTCATTAAATGGTAGTGTGACCCCATTATTTCGAAATGCCTAATACTAACAAGAACTATTCAATAAAGGTTGATAATCAAAGCCTTTGAAATTTTCTAATGAAAAACACATTATTCTAGCTGATAGAATTTGAAGAACAACAAAAATTTACTGTATTGGCGGAACTGTCATGGCTTTTATTACAAATTACATTCACAGATAACATGCAACTGGCATGTTCATTCAAACATCAGCAACATGCAACTGGCATGTTCATAACCTATGCGCCGATCTTACAACTGGTAAGCATTTTGGCAGCATAGCATTCACAAATATCAAACAAACCATATCATAGCTGGGGGACCTGGAGATAACAGTATCACCCTCAGCAAATGGTTACTTGTCAAAATTGCGCTAACACGAAAAGGTCAGGATTATCACATTCACAAAGCATAGTCCATAGCTTTCTTCATCAGCGTATAAGCCACGACGATTACTGAAAATGTCACGTAACACTACAGTCAGGATTATCACATTCACACAGCAAATAGAAGTCCATAACTTTCTTCATCTGACAGTGTATAAGCCACGACGATTTCTGAAATTGTAACTTAACAGTCAGGATTATCACATTCTCACAGCAAAGTCCATGATGGCCTTCTTCATAGGTGTACATGTACAAGTCATGACGATTTCTGAAATTGAAAGAAAACACACAGCAGAAAAAGGAGCAGAAAGAATTCATTGAATAGTAAATACATTTAAATACTAGTATTCAGACGGTGAGACCAACCCTAGTATTTAAGGGAGGGAAGGGAGGGGATTTCGTCTGCACTGAACAAGATGGGAAGTTGAAAAGACCAAGCACATGCGCATCAAAGCTCAAGTATTATTGACCCTAGAACCGTAACGATAGAACCGCATAATTCCGGAAAACGGTTTGCACTTCGTAGCTATTTATAATCTCAAAAAACAAAGCCATAAACGGCCTTCTCAATAACTGTATTTATCTTTTAGGGATAAATCTGATTATTTCGAAATGCCTAATACTAACAAGAACTATTCAATAAAGGTTGATAATCAAAGCCTTTGAAATTTTCTAATGAAAAACACATTATTCTAGCTGATAGAATTTGAAGAACAACAAAAATTTACTGTATTGGCGGAACTGTCATGGCTTTTATTACAAATTACATTCACAGATAACATGCAACTGGCATGTTCATTCAAACATCAGCAACATGCAACTGGCATGTTCATAACCTATGCGCCGATCTTACAACTGGTAAGCATTTTGGCAGCATAGCATTCACAAATATCAAAGAAACCATATCATAGCTGGGGGACCTGGAGATAACAGTATCACCCTCAGCAAATGGTTACTTGTCAAAATTGCGCCAATTGGATTTCAAACATAATGAAATCCAACCGCCATCAAAGCGGCCGAATTTTGACAAGTCAATATCATTCACAAATTACACATATACACAAACACATTTTTTTTTACATCATCTTCATAAAGCCACAACAGTTCCAAATCCCAAAATTCGTAGACTCATCACTTTGATGGCCAAACAATGTCATTACATTACCAGAGCAGAAAAGCAGCCAACATTGTTCATGACATGATCACAATGGCAATGATGTAACCGTCATTAATAATGATATTATTTACATCTAAAATGTAACAACTCAAGTCTGAGATAATGCATCTAACACCCATCTTACCTTGTTTTGTTTTGTTTTTTTTGTTTTTTTTTTAAATTTTTTGTTCAGACATGCCTGGCAAATACATATGAGTAGCACCCCAATTTTAAAAGAGAGTGTTTTGAAAGTTTCTATTTCAATACCTAAAAATCTCAATTCTTGTACAATCAAAATACTTCAAATCTGGTGTGCTGATTAAGATGTTCACGTACCTAACCATTGATATGGCAAAATAAATGGTCATCCTGTTAATTGCAAGAAAGTTTCCTATAAACTAAAACACACAGTCAACTCCAAGTCTGATATGCTGATAGTGATAACTATAAACTAAACCTTTCCATTCTGATCTGTTTTAGAAAGACACAACTTCAATCTGATATTTTCATAACTTACTGTAGATTTAAAAAACTTCAGAAAGATGAAGTGCATTTCTTAGACTCTCATTTGATTTGATCAAAAATTGCAGTGGCAAATGTAGACCGATAATAATGGTTAATTATGCTCGTACATGTGTATTTTGAATGTGTTCCCATTGATAAAACAATAAAACTTTTTAGTAAAAGAAGGCATGTTAAAGGACCTCTGATGTCATTTGAACATTTAAATCTTCTTAAACCTGTCAGAATTTTTACACAATGAAGGAGTTGACTGGATGATCTACTGGAGGTGGCCAAAATGAAGGCAAGTAAAATCGTAATCTAAAGTCATGAAAACAACTATGGCTTTGACATATGCAATTTTTGTGAAGTTCAAAAAGCTAACTTCAATCAAATGATTGAATTGCATGCACAGTCCTCCAAAAGGTTCCAAAATTAAATAAGTACTTGATAAGGATAACATGAAATCTACCCAAGGTGCCAGCTGCCTGAATCTGTTCCACTGGAATTGAGAAATTGAATCTGCTATCTCACTTATACTGCTTAAATGAACTGCTTTAAACTGAATAGTAAACTTCAAAGAAAGCAATACTAATGCTCTCATGAAAATCTTAACCCATTTAATCTTAAATGTTTTCCTATCTAAGATTTCAATCAAAGCTATTATAGTATTATGTCAACATGCAATATCAATTACCTGGTTTGTAATTTGTCTGACAACAAGTAAAATCCTTAACTTTACGAACAAACTCTGAAAAGGTTATTATGTCTTTTCTTGTATCAACATTCTAATCCTGTGACCAACAAAGATAAAACCAGAAAGTTTCAAAACTGACACCACAAACCATTGAACCTAAGCCGTCTGAATGAAATTATACATCTTTTTAGGATTCCCATTCTGACTCTGGAAATAGTGTAGAACTATTAACTTCACTAAGAAATGTTAACCAGATTTGAAGATCACTATGCATTTCTCTGGAAAGCCTTACCAAGTGATGCGACTAATAGTAACACCAAACATTTAACCATATGATTTAATCAACATGTAAATTTCTACCTGCCGGCAAGGCCTTTGTAACTAAAGCTTAGCCTAATGAGCCAAGACTGAAAGACCGAAGCCGCCTTAATGTAATCTAAGATTTCCACTGAATTTCAAGTATTTCTTTTTGTAAATTGAATGATTACTGACTTTATACCTAAACCTAAGAACACTATGTATGTTGTTGGACTAGAATTTACCTCTGAAATATGAACATGAATATGAAATATTTTGAAAGGAAATAATAAAATTTTACCTTTGTTTGTACCATGAGCTCTAGCAAATAATTAAATCATGTAGTAATGAAAAACATTTTTAAAGTTGATGCTATACTCTTTCACCCCTTGTAAAAAACTGGATTTTTTTTTTTTGAAATAATTAATGCAAACAATATTTAATATGGCACAATCCATCAGTAACATTTGTGAACATCATATTTAACAAACATTTAAAACCAAGAAGACAAAAATTTCAGGTATGACTGGTAACAACCTGAACTCATTTGAAATATCCATTTTCCATAGTTATGCATAATTTGTACCATATAAAATGTATATAAGTTTTTGTACTATATATGCTAACAGCTTGACTGGAAGATAAATAATTAATTGAGGAAATTTTGGGATTAACGAATTCATAAAGTTATAGTCTTTCCATGTAGAGCAGATATATTGGTGATTACCTCCAACTTTGAAATGGTGGGGCATCAAATGGACCCATTATTATGCGACCTAGTTCATGCAATTTCTTTGTTCAGTTTAGCAAATAATTCATCTTTATGTTCCAATGCTGAAACCATATTTTTGCAAGGTATTAAAACCCACCCTGATGGACCATCATAGTTCAATGAGAAACTGAATATAAATCATGTAAAATTTGTAACATTGATTGGAATGAAACCTACATCCAAAATATGGGGAGGCCATGGGTCATTATTGCCTAAGAGGCCTTTATAAACTGGGTGTCAGATTGGGATTGATATCTAATTGATGAAAGACAATGCGAGTCGACCCTTACAGGAGAGCACAAATTCGCCTGGGGGCTAGCGAATTGTAATGGTGGGCAAGTGAAATTTTATCCATTTGCCCGAGGGCAAGTGACTCAAAATTCAAATCAATATGTAAGACAGATATAAAGCTGGTCATAGTGACTTGCATATTGTACTCAATATTTGTCTCTCTTCTTAAAAAATATTTATAAATATAAATACAGTATTACAGTTTATAGTAGGGCAAGCAAAAATTGGGTAGGGCAAGTGTTTAGGTTTTCCAAACAAAACTACATCATACTGTTTATTGAACGCCTAAATCTAAAGTGAATGTTAAATTCTCCCACCAAGTGTTGTTGACTGAAGCCCCTAGCCTTATTAGACTGATATACATATAATGCCTTGAACACATTAATTTCTTCAATCTTTAAACACAAGCAGTTGCTTAATTTAATCAGCTAGATATAACTGCATTATAATTTCATCTGCTGGATCCAACTGCAATATCAACTTAGCAAGAAATATATAATCATTAATGTTCCAAAATTTTTCCTTGTTGTAAGAGTATGCAGGGATTTATCAGTACCTTCTCATATGCTGAAATTAGGCCCCATGCCAAATTGAAAATATTTTTTTTTTAAATTTAATTTGGAAGTTTTATTCCTGACCCAATTGGTAAACAATGGTTTTACATTTAATTATCTTGAAGAAAAAAAAGCAATATTGTCTGTAATTTTATATATAGATATCCAACTCATTTAACAAAGTTACAGTTACAACATATGTTTAAAAACATTGCAATAGTGTCGTCATCTTTTAATCCGAATTTCCTTGTTTTTTCTATAAATGGTGATATTGTGTAATTATACCATATAAATAAATTATTTATCCGAGGGTCTTGCTACACGTGCAGGGGTCTGGCCTAAAGCGATTTCATATTGCCTCTCCTTGAGGAACCATCACTCTCAAGTCAATAACATCGTTCTTGCAAATAATTATAAAACCGACAGAATTTTTCTTATTACTTATCATGCTTATTGTTGATATTTAAAAATGCATTCATTGAAACAAGAATTGAAAGTAAAATTTTCTTGTTTTACATGACCATTTTTTGAAGAATTAGTCGATAGATTTTAAACAAATTCATACAACATGAATAAACATGGTAACTTTACGCTATTTTCATACTTAAATTTCTTCGATTGATAAAATACTTGCCGATGACACTTGATTATTTTTCTTAACACCATTGATTTCGTCTGCACTGAACAAGATGGGAAGTTGAAAAGACCAAGCACATGCGCATCAAAGCTCAAGTATTATTGACCTTAGAACCGTAACGATAGAACCGCATAATTCCGGAAAACGGTTTGCACTTTGTAGCTATTTATAATCTCAAAAAACAAAGCCATAAACGGCCTTCTCAATAACTGTATTTATCTTTTAGGGATAAATCTGATTATCTTAAAAAGAACTGTTAGCTCAAATGAAATAAAGCCTAAAGAAATATTCGTATAAAAGCTATATGGTGGCTGTCTGTCGTTTTATCCTTGCACCAGGTGTCTCAGATGACACCAAACACAACCACATTGCTAACCCAAAACAGTTCAAATGCATCCCTTGTTCATGAGGGTTCAATTTTTATGATACATGCTATATGCCAATTTTTTTCTAAAAGAAGATATTAAAGAAATGGTTTAAATGACATATTTCAAGAACCCTTGGTCAAAAAATTATAAAATTATGGTCCTCTGTAGTAGGGTGTAGGGTATAGCAGAATTGAAATTTCATGAAAATATAAAGGATGCATATTTCTAGACTTTTCACCCCAGGAAGATCGCGGTTGTGATTAGTGATATTAATATGCAAAAATTTATATAAACAAGTGCTTTCTCTTTGATACTCCTTGAGAGTCAAGTGTACTTATTTCTCATGGAAGGCTTTGTGTATTTCAATTCTACATGTATGCGAAGAATTTGTGTTAATTAGCTCACCTGAGCCGAAGGCTCAAGTGAGCTTTTCTGATCAAAATTTGTCCGTCGTCTGTCGTTGTCGTTGTCGTCGTCGTTGTTGTCGTAAACTTTTCACATTTTCATCTTCTTCTCAAGAACCACTGGGCCAATTTCAACCAAACTTGGCACAAAGCAAAGTATCCTTGGGTGAAGGGAATTCAAGTTTGTTCAAATGAAGGGCCATGCCCTTTTCCAAGGGGAGATAATCATGAATTTGTTAAAAATTAATGGCATTTTTAAAAAATATTTTTCTCCAGAACCGCTGGGCCAGGAAAGATGAAACTCATGTGGAAGCATCCTCAGGTAGCGTAGATTCAATTTTGTTCAAATCATGACCCCCGGGGCAGGGGTGGGGCCAAAATGGCCGACCCTAGTTTTACATAGGAATATATAGGAAAAATCTTCTTCTCCAGTACCACTGGGCCAGGAAAGATGAAAACTCATGTGGAATCATCCTCAGGTAGTGTGGATTCAAGTTTGTTCAAATCATGACCCCCGGGGCTAGGGTGGGGCCAAAATGGCCGACCCAAGTTTTACATAGGAATATATAGGAAAAATCTTTAAAAATCTTCTTCTCCAGAACCACTGGGCCAGGAAAGATGAAACTCATGTGGAAGCATCCTCAGGTAGAGCAGATTTAAGTTTGTTCAAATCATTACCCCCGGGGCAAAGGTGGGGCCAAAATGGCCGACCCAAGTTTTACATAGGAATATATAGGAAAAATCTTAAAAAGTCTTCTTCTCCACAACCACTGGACCAGGAAAGATGAAACTCATGTGGAGTCATCCTCATGTAGTGTAGATTCAAGTTTAAATCATTACCCCGGGGCTAGAGTGGGGCCAAAATGGCCGACCCTAGTTTTACATAGGAATATATAAGAAAAATCTTTTAAAATCTTCTTCTCAAGAACCTACTGGGACTAGGAAAGATGAAACTCATGTGGAATCATCTTCAGGTAGTGTAGATTCAAGTTTGTTCAAATCATGACCCCCGGGGCAAGGGTGGGGCCAAAATGGCTGACCCAAGTTTTACATAGGAATATATAGGAAGAATCTTTAAAAATCTTCTTCTCCAGAACCACTGGGCCAGGAAAGATGAAACTCATGTGGAATCATCCTCAGGTAGTGCAGATTCAAGTTTGTTCAAATCATGACCCCCGGGGCTAGGGTGGGGCCAAAATGGCCGACCCAAGTTTTACATAGGAATATATAGGAAAAATCTTTAAAAATCTTCTTCTCAAGAACCACTGGGCCAGGAAAGATGAAACTCATGTGGAATCATCCTCAGGTAGTGTAGATTCAAGTTTGTTCAAATCATGACCCCCGGGGCTAGGGTGGGGCCAAAATGGCCGACCCAAGTTTTACATAGGGATATATAGGGAAACCTTTTAAAATCTTCTTTTCAAGTACTTCAAAGCTATGATTAGTGATATTTATATGGAATCATCCTCAGGTAGTGTAGATTCTAGTTTGTTCAAATGATGAACGCCTGGAGGGGGGGGGGTGGAGTAAATTCAAGCCTGATGTGCTCAGGTGAGCGCTGTGGCCCCTGGGCCTCTTGTTTCATTTTTATTTCACATTTTAAACGTATTAAAATGACTCGGTGTTTTCTTAATTTTGTATGCCTGATACGTTAGGAAAGTTGGAAAGGTGTGTAGTTCCTGTATGATGGGACGGGGACTCTCATTAGTGGCCTTGTATACCTTACAAACTAGACAGTTATTCCTTTACCATTTCCTGGAGGGTTGATTCAGTTTTTTTAGATGAATGCCCGAGGCGAGGACCGGGCCACAGTAAAAAAGTAAATAAAGGTTGTAATATCTATTGTAAGGATTTTTTCTAAAACTCTTCTTTTTAAGAACATTGAGGCAATGCTTCAGGTCTGTTCAGACCGTGGTTCTGAGACTGGAGCGGATTACAAAAAGGACATTTTACACTAGAACATATAAGTGATGTAGTTTTAACAACTTAACCCCAAAACAACAAACCTATAATAAGTGCTACTTATATACATACATCCTCATTTAAGAGGCATATTTCATATGGTAAAGTGTATTCCCTTTGCATGAGGATTGGACTAACAATTAAGCATATATTTATTATTAGCACATGTTCCCTAATGATTATGTTCGCCAAATAATGCTATGCTGAAAATTTTCAAAGTCTACCGACTCTATTCCTCCTATTTATATTTTCACTTCGTAAGTTCTATGATCGATACAATGACCTTGTCAGCAAATACAATCTATCCTGAAGGTCGTATTTCATACTATTTGTTGGGCCATTATTTACACTCTGAGCTGTCAATAAATTTCTCCCGATCATGACAAGGAGCACACGGCGGTTGTGACCGGATGGCAGGGGGTACTAACTCCTCCACCTGATCCCACCTCTGATGAAACAAGTACATAACGAACAGTATTGCAGATCAAAAGTCCAATCAAACAATACAAAGCAAACAAAGCCGAGCAAACACAGACCTCCGAAACATCAGACGTGACAAGGAGCACACGGCGGGTGATGCTCACTCCTCCATGGCACCTGATCCCACTTCTGATGTTTCAGAGGTCCGTGTTTGCTCTGTTCCTAATTTGTATTGTTTCATGGACTTTGAGATTGAATACTGTTCGTTATCTCCATATCCTTCTACATGCAAGAGTGAGCATGCCATGCCGACTGGTCGCACCCACCGTGTAATCCTTCTCTTGATCGGTAAATAACGGAAAAATCCGTCGTCAATTCACTGTATAAAAAGTGGACTAACAATTAGTATCTAAAACGTAGGTCAGCATTTGACTCAATGATAAATTATATTTGTGACAAGGTCGTTGTATCGACCACAGAACCTAAGAAATGATGATTTTGAACGAGACTGTTAGTATTCTTGACTTTAAACGAGACTGTAAGTGTTAATATCGTTGTTTTGGAAGTCCGTTTTTGCTCTGCTTCAAAAATTGAATTCTTTCATGGACTTTGGAGCTGAAAACTCTCCGTTATCTCCACTTTATTTATAAAGCTCTTGTACAAGTCTTAGTCAAAGTCCCCCAAAGTCTTTCAAATATACACTGTACCTTTTAATAAAATGTTTGATTAGAAGATATCCTCGTTCAAAGCATTCACATACAAAATCTGCCATTCACAACTAAATATTTATTTTGTTATTTTAATAATTCTGTTTCTAACAAAAACATTTACATCACATCATTATGTCTTGGTTTATGATCTGCAAACAAATATAAACAAGCAAAAGTAGAATATGTTGTATGTTGAACTAAAAAAAATAAAGCAAAGATTCTTTTTCTGCTAAGTAGTATTACTTTTTATCATTATCTTTTGAATTGATTCAGATTTTGTATACGCAGTTTCCAGAACCCTCATTATATTTGCTGTATCTTTTAAAGTTCAGAATCTATTTATTATCTAGAATTCAGATTACTTATCTCCTCTTGCCTGGCTCTTCTTAAATTATTCATTTAAAAATACACAGTAAAACTTAAATCTGACATAACTTACGGGGACTCGCAAATAAAGTTGTTTAACTGCTCACAGACATTAGCTGTCCACTTGAACTGAGACTTGAACCCTATGGCCATGCATTTGTTTAGAGGGTGAGTAGAAGGTTCATTGGGGGCCCAGGCCGTGTAGACAGGACTGGTCTGGGTCCGGGTCCAAATCCAGCTCCCAGAAAATAAGCTGGTACCTCCAAGCCACAGAGAATCGCTCGAAAACGCAGCTGTAAAAATGATGCATATCATTGCTTTGCTTTCAAAATGAGCTTTTGTATTCTTTTTTATTCTTTTTCTGAATATATTTTTCTCTAATGATATATTAGTAGGAAAAAAGTTTCTGCCAAATGTCAAACGGAGATTCTTCATTTGTACAATTAAATTAAACCTGGATAAATCCTCCTTTGACATCTCTTGTTGAGCAAATCTATTAACTGACCTGGTCCGAGTCTTCCTATGTATCCTGTGATGAATTGTTCTTCGCTTGCGTCGTCAATGGACAGCAGAGAAGACTGAATCATCTTACAGTAGTACTGACAATTAAAATATAAATATTTACATTTCTGAGGAAATTGAAGTAGAAAATATTTTGCTAAATAAAGTTACACTAATAAATTCAATCCATGATCATCTTTTAATTTGAAATTTCTTTAAGTCTAGTATCTGATTTTTAAAAATTATTGTGTTATTTTATAAATATGTTAACTTTATTTCTAAATCCTTAAAATCCTTCATTATTTTTTACATCAAATGTAAACATAATTTTGCTTATCGGTCGATTTTATCAACTGCATTAAAGTTATTTAAATAAAACACATTATTTGCATGCAATGGTCACTGTTATGATTACTTACATTAGCCTCTGACCACGACGCCTTAATGTGAAATGGCATATAACACGAAGTCCCGTGCTGAACGAAGCCCATAGGGCACACTGCACTACAAACCCCGAGCACCAGCAACTCTGATTCAACATCAAAGTAATGGTAAGAGGAAAAAAGTCTCAGAACTTAACTCTGTGCTCTTTTTATACACTTTTACAGCATCAGATGAATCATAATTCTTTTTTATCATTAGTTTACCAAATTGTTCATTATTTTTATGATAGCCACAAGGAAAGGCTGTCTACATGGTTGATCCTAACCAGATCGAACATTTTCAGATTTAAAGTAATCCAAAAATCAATTATCTATTATATGTACATATCTATAACTTTATAGTTTACGTGGGCTATCTTAATACCAAAGAGGGAAAGAAATAAAAATGAAATTAATATGAACTGAAGATCTGCATATGGTGAATAGTATAAAACTGATTTTTTTTTACAGTGAACAGTGTAATATTAATACTCGTAGATCCGAAGATAAAATTTAATACTTACCTAATAAACAAGTTTTCCACATTTTGACCGATTTTGATAAATGGTAAATAGGACAGTTATTGACTTATCTATGACACACTACATATACAACAGATATACAAAAAATAGAGCAGTCCCACTCCCATTATAGTTTAAATTACGAGTTAACTTTCTTTGGTTGTTTTTTAGAATTTATTTTTCCTCTATAGAAAAAAAAATTGGCAAAGGAGAGTCATTGCATGTAAACTGGTTCACAAAAACTCAAGAGTAATTATATATGATTAAAAATTTGATTGAAGAAAGTTGTTTGTCTACAATTAACATGACAAGTTGGTTGACTAAACTTGACGAAATGCCTTTACACAATTTTTTTTATAAAAATATAATATTTGGAGTTATAATCATAAAATAATAAAAAATAAAAATATGCAGGAAGACAATATCCTTTTATGTATCTTTATCTTATTCAGTTATTTATTTCTGAAATATTTTGCTTGAATTATAATGATTTTTCAACAAGAACACCCTTTAGAAATTATTGCAAAATTTATACTTTAAGCAACAGCGCAGATCAAATTTTTAAAATAGAAATATCCCATTGGAATTGATAACATTGATATCATTAGGAGTTGTGTCCCTTATCAGAGGATCAATGAACTTTAAGTCATGACTTTCACTAAGAGTAATCTCTCCTATAAGAAGGTTTATGAACCTTACATATAATGACTTCCCGACTTATACCTTACTTATATGTTTATAAAGAAGTTATTCCTATAATTAATATATTAATCACAAATTAATCAAAAAATTCTAGTGAGATCTTTTACTTTGTATTATAGGTATGACATCTGCCATTACAATGATTTATTCAAAGAAGGACGCTGAACCTAAAATAGTATTACACGGACAGATTAAAACCGCTTCAGCAAGTATTACCTTAGCAAAGAAACAAAAGTTGAAACCATATGGACGAGTTTATTTTCAATAACATTTATACAGGGTGTATACTTATAAAGAATTATTTTCTCGATGCTCAAATAGACCTGTCAAGCTTTTCCTATTTAAAACTGTCTTTGTACAGTGTAACATATTCAAATATCTATCATTTATTTTACAATTCTTACATTTCAAAAAAAAAAATAGATAATTGGTACATTGTATGTAAATTTAAGGACCCTACTGGGCAAACACCGTATAATCTGATGCGTCTTGTGCATGCAGGTTACTTGAAAGTTGTCAGGCTAAATAGAGTATGATGTTAAAGGTGATGAGGACAACGAACGGAGATCAATCTCAAAATTCTTATAAACAATACAAACACCGACCTCTGGAATTTCCAGAGATCGGATCAGGGCCAAGGAATTGTAAGCATTCCCTGTTGATCGGTCACCCCTGTAAATTTAAATGTTGATCAGGTAAATGGAACTTTCCCTATAGTTATATTTAGTATAAAGCAAAGACCTTATGATTGGCATTGTCTTTTCACAAATTTTTATTAAAATAGAAAATTTGGTGTAAATAGTCATAACACCAAATTTTCTATTTTAATAAAAAATTGTGGGGAGACAGTATATAACATGCAAAATATGACCCAGTGATATGTTATTTTTGCTTACAAGTTAAGGTCATTATTATAGAAATTACGACATTATGTTATTATAAAATTTACGACATGCTGACTTTAAATGAGGATGTCGAAATTCCTTTTATATCAAGATATCAGTGAATAGCATGTATCTCGGAGCAAACTCTCGGGTAGCAAATAAGTTCGGAGATATTAACACTATAAGCAGGTGGTCGCGGAATAATACTGCATAAAAAAGGAACGTTGGCGATTAAAAAGCTTAAGTCATCTCAGTTGTTACAATTCATCTTTTTAGTTGTCCGATAACGTGTATAGTCATTATAACATACAAATATGAAACAGATGTAGAGACGCCGTGTATCTTGTATTTAAGGCTGCCTGAATTCAATTATAGCCATCTTAAATGACAATACAAACGACTTAAAGATTGAAAAGTTTCTTTAATGGTTGTTCCTTTTTCCAATAATTCCCTGTCCACCAGCAGTAACTCCAGGGTCCGCCGTCCTAAAATAGAAAATAACCCAACATGAAAGAACAGGAAATATCAAATATTCAACGCTTAAATATCAGGGGCCTGTTTTACAAAAGAACTTACGACTAAGATCAAAAACTTCAGTTGATTGTAAAATTTTGCAAAATTAATGATTTTGTTTAAAATTGCTAGCGTAATAGTGCCTTTCTATATACTTTTAAAAAGATTAAAATCATTTTCTATTTTATAAAATTTAGAAGAATTGAATGTTGGTCTTAGTCGTAAGTTCTTTTGTAAAACGGGCCCCAGCTCTGTTTGAAATGATGTTGTCAAAAATATTTGGTTTGTTCATTGTAATTTAAGCCAGATGCACACTTACACTGTATATATGAAATATGCATCCATGTGGGAAAAAAGACTTTTGACCTCCGACACAATGTAAAATATAAATGTATTGATTTTTGTTTATTAACAAATTTTTGAGTTGATCATCTGTTTTCTTTCTTTTAAGGTAAACGTTCATTGTATTGTATTCAAAAATAAAAATGAAAACTGTTTAAATTTAGTGGTAGTCATGAAAGTGTCTCTCAAAACTTGCTCAAATGGAAATCATTTAGAACCTTCTTTAGAATCCACTTTATTCTACGTACGGTATTTCGCAGATAAAGTTGAATCTGTTCTGACAGTTATTATCATTCCATTGATAGTTCCCATTCATATCCATCTCCAGACAATGTTCATTAGAGCCAGCATTGTTTGGTTCCCCTGGGGACCAGTTTTTGTATGTCCCAAAAGCCTCCACATTTCCGGTCCACACCCACTCCCCCTCGATTTGGATATCTGTTCCCCCGAGCCAAAAAATGCCAGGACTGAAACTGCCTACACAAAAAACATTAAAAACCACTTTACCATGCCTCTTAATAATGATGTACATAACCGCTATATCATACTCTTCTCTACTTCCGACCATGTACAAATTTTAGGAAAGAAGTCAAATCTCAAAAACTTTTACTGTCTGCCTTTCAGGATATGAGTTACATTTTATTTCATATTTCCAGCCCAGAACCATCTCAGCTTACACCCCGACAATGAATTATTTAGTAATCACAGTACCTTGAATGGAACCATTTTATGATTTGTTAGGAAATGTATATTTCTGTGAATATCCTTTCAATGTCTAGCAAGCTTATATTGGTCCACATAAAAAGGTTGATTTTGACATCTGAAACATTTTTGAATATTCCCTAAAAATTCTTAGATTTGAAGACTTTTCTAAGATAACTTCACATGCGCTATCTATACACTGCAGTTCTTCGTAAATGATCTAACACGAATAAATGAAACATTATTAAACTAAGAACAACATCAAAAATTCAAAGCAAAATGTCCTGTCTATGAACTTAACGGAAAACAGTTAAAAAATCTACCCTTAATTCTAGGAATCATTGTTTGTTTACTACAAATAATAATTACTCAAGTATTTTTGGAGTTGACTGTTGTAAATACAGCTCTAAGAATTATTGTCCGAATATAATCAAAAAGGTTTACTACTCTATATTTTTGGAGATTTCTGTAAAATAGTACTTACATATACATTTCTGAATGTGGTTGCATAATGATACTTGCCAAATATTTCTTGAGATAACTGTATAATTGTTCATACTATATTTACTGTAATTACTGAAATAACGTGTACTGTATAATGAAATATATGGAAAAAAAGAACGGTATTCAAGCTCAGAAGACCATTCAAACAAAACAACCAAGAAGCAGACCAAACACGGGCCCTTGAAAGATCAGAGGTGGGATCACTTGCCATTGAGGAGTGACCATCCTTTGCCGACCGGTCACCCGTCGTGTGTTCTTGTTATGGTCGGGAAATACTGGGAAAATCCGTAGACAATTCACAGTGTAAATGATTGCCTAACAATTTGTTCGAAAAAATTGACTTAATAATAGATTGTATTTGCTGACGAGGTCATTGTATCGTCCATAGAACCTACAAAATTTTAACTTTAAGGTAGGTCCGTACTTTCAGAATTTTCTGTCAAACTGATAATTTTTCAATTTGAATACTTTGAACAAGTCTTAAACTTACTAAAACACCCTTAAAAGACATATCTTTGCAGATTGATTTTCATACAACATGTCTCAGCACACATACCTCTAAAAACTCAACAGCCAAAATTGCACATAAAAAAGTGTGATATCATATTTCTCTTAGTTATGCACCAAATCACATCAAATTTATGTTAAAACTTATGAAGATCAAAAATATTCATTTACCTAGAGAAAATTTGAAATTTTTACTGCAAAACATTAAGAAATCGGTGTTGAATCTGTCCATGCCTTTCAGAAAAAAATCTCAAAATATCTTTATTTTTTATAATTCTTAAAATCCAATATGTTTAGATGCCATTTTTTCTTTAAAACTATTGAGAATTATATCTAATGTTAACAAAAACATCTACTTTATTATGATTGACCAGAGAATTTTAACAAAACAGTCTTTTGAAGACGTAAACCCCCCATTTTTGAAATATCAATTTTTTCAATTATTCAATGTAAAATTTTTAAATAATAAGAATTAAATGGATGATATAGGCTCTTAATCAATAAAAATAGATCTCAGGTTAGTTTGCTTAAAAGAAAATTAAAAAGATTTAGGTCTTTAAAAGCAATTAAGAATTTTGTGTCTGGATAAGTTCTAAATGACATATAGGTCTTATGGACAGAATGCAAAGTTTTAATTTCCATAAATAATGTATATTATATGCTTCATATGCACAATAACACTATAATAAACAAATATTTACTTGCTAAATCATTCTCAATCAATCAAAAAGATTTATATCAATAGAAAAGTGAAAATCATAATTTTTTTATATTTTATTTTATATGTGTAAAATTAGAACCGGATCCGTAAAAGTGTGGGCCTTCCTTAAACGAGACTGTTGATAGTCTTGTTTCATCAACTTGGTTGTCAATAATTTATTTTGTTTTAGAAATTGTTCATACATAGGGCATGGCCTTGCGTATTGAATCAAATGAGAGATATAAACCCCATATTCAATATTGGGTATATTGCTACGTAAAGAAAAGAAATGGACGATTGAAAAATTAAAGTTATCACGCTTATCATAAAGCAATGCTACTAGAACCATTGTTAAATATCCAAATATTAAACAGAAGTATCAGATCCTGTGTTTGTTTTTTTTTTATTTCAAGCTCATAAGGAAATCTTGTGTCAACATTTGAATAGAAATAATTATAACATCTATTTTCAAATAAAAATACTCCAACGATATATCTGAATGTCGAGTTGAAGGCAACAGTAAAGTTTTTTCTCCTCGTGTTTGTGATTAAACTCAGCTTAACATGAGTGAAAAAAAAAGTTCTGCTTACAACGGAATGCTATAGGTACTCGTGGAAATTCCAACAGATTGTTGGAAGGCATGATCTCCAAACACCACATGGATATTCAAGCATCTTTTCAATATCAGCTTTTGAGTATTTGGGTGTAAAATTAGAATTTATTTTAACAAAATAGTTTTGCAGATGGCCAATAACAAAGAAAACAAATTGACGAGTTCCATTTTCATTGAAAAACAGAAGTCAATGGTGTTCAAATTCCTTGACTTCATTTTATCGTAAGGAATGATTATTTAAACTGTTGAGAATGTTATTGATTTTGGTCAAATTTCTTGTTTTCAAATTTTTTTCAAAAGTTCCTTAATTTTTTTATGCATTCACATCTGATTCACCCCACTTCTCAAATATATTGTTGAACAGTACTCCAGATATCCTTCCTTGTGAATAATTTATAGTGAGGAGTAAAGAAAGAGGCATGGTAAAACATTTACAGGCTTCGTAGTAGTACTTTTAACAATATTTCTGAAAATGATAATTGTAATTGTACTTACCTATGTTTCTGGAAATGACTGTCTGTATAACGTGTTGTTCGTGAACATCGTTAATATTTGCGAGATATCCGCCATATGCCTGACATATGATCTAGGGTGGAAAGAAACAATTATGTTATCTATATATTCATTTTGAATAAATAATTTAATCGGAAATTCTACAATTTGAGAAAATGAGGATTATTGCTTTTAGAAAATTTCAGAGGTGATTTTACTGGCATGTAAATATTTTTTACATTAGAGGAATACGTAAATAGCTTCACCTATTTGTTGATTTTTATGATAAGTAAATCAGTAAAATCTGTAATATCTTGGTTGTTTCTTACTACGATTAGATTTTGAGTACATGTAACATAAGAACTCCTTTGTCTCATTATGTTGTTATGACGTTATTATATATTCATTTTATTTAATCCTGACTCGCTTTAAACACGGCCGTATCACACTATTTCACCAAACACTTTAGAACATTACGACGTGTACCCACTTGTATTATCAATAATATCTTGTGACATTGTTAACCGTATCCCTACGACCCACCCAGCCTCTTCATCAATCTACTAAAACAATATGGAACTAGAGGTACTGTGAGCAATGAGCTCACTAACCCCCGTTCACACATAGACGCCGCTTCTACTACGATCAAAGCGTGACTAAAAGCGCGACCGATCGTGACGAATCGCAGGAGAAACGTCGAGGGGTCATCATAAGCGTAGTATGATCGCAGTAGGGTCTTCATGATCGGAGAGCTCTACGCTCTCACCACGCTTATTTTGAACATGTTCAAAACAAGCGTAGCGGGATCGTGGCCAAAAAGAATCGGGGTTGAGTCGTAATAAGAGCGTAGTAGCAGCGCCGTAATCGTGCAAGCAGCGCGGAAGCATCGTAGAGAGATCTTCATGATCGTAGTAAAAGCGCGTAAGAGCGTAGGATCTAACCAAGCACGCTCATACAACGCTCCCTCTTCGTTCGTACTACGTTCTCACTACGATCTCTCTACGTTCCTGAAGACCCTACGAAGATCTACAATGACCTTGCGCCGATTATATCACGACCTATCATACAAGAGTTTGTTCTTATTGTTTGTTCTTATACGCATTAAGCGTAATGCAATCGTTATGTGATCGGCACCACCGTAGCGACATCGCGGTACAGTCATCTAGGTCTGTGTAGCGTCGTAGTATGGTCGTCAATGTCGTAGTGGAAGCGTAGCGTAAACGCAGTGAACACGGCTGCTTGTCGGTATTGGTCTGCGTAACATCGTAGTAGAAGCGTGTTAGCAACGCGTTTGACGTAGGGACATCGTAGTACGGTTGTAACGAAGACCATAATTTGCCAAATTGCTCTATTAAGACGCCGATCGGCTGCGATCTGCCCCGATCCAAAAACTTTTCAGATCGTGCCTTGATCGGGATGATCGCCGTAGAGTCGCAGCTCTGTGTGAACGGGGGGTAAACGATACCCTCGCCTCCCGTAATGTCCATGTTTTGCTATATATTGTTTTACGGTACTGTGTAAAGAGGAATAACTCGTCGTATCAAATGATATTCAGAAGCAGGCATATGTGACGTCATAGGTACGAATATAATGGCAACGTCCATGTTTTGCTATGGGAAACTTAAAATACGTGTCGAATAAAAAAGTAAAATAGGAGGTGCACAATGGCAATATGTAATAAAGATTCTGTGAAAGTTTCATTAAAATTTCACTCAGTAGTATAAGAGGAGTTGCGGATAAGAGATGGGTACCCCAAAGCGTAACAGACGGACGGACGGACATAACGATTACTATATACCCTCCCACTTTTCAAGCGGGGGGTAAAATTTCCTTTAAGTTTCCCAGGAATGATGTATTGGTTCTAATGAAATGCGACCTTACTTTGTATAAGATATTCCAGGTTAGCGTCTGGAATCCACTTAGATATCTTTTTTAACTGATTATAAAATTAATATTTTATGCATTGTAGAGAATGTCAACCTTCCTACAGATACATATACATTCATTTCTGTCATATCTTATATAATAATTATGCACGGCTGCGATTCTTTTAGAAGTACGTGTGACCTTTATGTGGGCAATTAGTTAAAAACCATGAAACAGATACCGCCATAAGAGGAAGTGTTCTCTGCAGAGAGCGACGTGATTTATCTAATATAGAGCACCGACTTACGGAAGCTTCGGCCCACGTAGCCCGGATGTTGAAGTCTAGGTAGCAGGAATTTCCATATACAAAAGCACCATCTGAACACTTCCCTGTCACTGCAAAATCAGACATGTCAAAATGTCGCCTGTATCTCACATAGAAGGCGGATTTTTTTTTCTAATTTGAAAATATTAATATTAATATAAATCCTAAAATAATATATTTTTCAATTAAAACATGATTTCGGAAATTTTGAAGAATAGCCTTGCAAATTTTTTTTATAAATCCTAAAAAAAAATCTTTCAATTAAACCATGATTTCGAAAATTTCAAAGTATAGCCTTGCATAATTTAATTATGTTATGAAGACGTTCTTTTAAAGACAAACATTAATTACTTTTTTCAGTAGTTTAGATATTTAAGTTATGTAAATTTTAAAATTTTGGTCATTGATAGCATCAGAAATCTGGCATGGAATCTATTAAAGAATTAAAAGTTAAATTGTTTCACATACAAGTATGCATTTATATTAGAAAGATATATGTCCTAAGTCTCTCCAAAGATACATAATGCTTAATACAAGTATAGCAAATAACTATTGTGTATACGAGCTTTGAATCTTTTTGAATCTTTGGATTTGCGATATGCAGTTAAACATCTCAATAACCTATACGAAATTTGTCCAATTATTTCAGGAAAGAAAGTAAATACTAACAATGTCATATTTTATTTCAATCTCTAAAACTTTTTTAACATTAAAAAAATGTCCTACCTTGTTCACACAATAACGAGACAAGTAATAATATTAAAGTTTTAGACATTTTGACTGTTGACCGACTTTCCGTATTTATCTGGCCCACATAATACTAGTAATGAAACCTCTTCTTGATAAGAACACCTCAAAGTATGTTCTTTCTCTCTCTAGAAATTGTTGTTTTCACTTTGTTTCAAACAATTACTGGTTTGTGAGAATATTGAATATAAGAAAAATAGATTTTAAACTTATTTTCGAATAAATAAATATAAATTTGGGTAAACATTATAACTTTCATTCAAATTGCAAAGGCGCATGTGAAAAATGCAGTTTTTGTTTCATGGATTGAATAAATTTTTCAGACAAAAATATACATTGCAACGATTGCAATTTTGAAGTTGTTACTCCAGTTCAGATCCACTAGTTTATTTATCTTATTTACAAACTCATATTCCAGTATTACCTGTTTATATTTGACAACTTGTTTATGCTACTCAAGAACTTGCTCTGAGAATAATCCGGCAAATTTTAAACCGAGGAACACTACTCAGAGATAAGTTAATGTTACAGAGATATCAACAATAAAATCAGTATTTCTTATATTCTTAGTATTTTATAATGACCTTGTCAGCCAATATAATCTTTCATATTAGGTCATATTTTGAACGACTTGTAAGACCTTTGTTTTCATACTAAATTAGGCATACTAGATTAGGTATGCTTGATCATTATAGGTACTTGATGTCACTTCTGGAATTTTTAGGGGATCTGTGTATATGTCCTCTTTACAGATTAATATTGTTTATAGACTTGTGACGCATTACTACATATTGCCTTATGCTCAGATATTTTGTTTCATTAGAGATAACGAACACTTTAAGCTTACACTGAATTTTAATTTAATCCAGAATTCTAACCTGTGTCCGCTTGTTGAAAGCATTTACTTCAATAATTTCTGTTGAATTTGTGCAAGATTTCAATTTTTTGCACAGCTTTTATTCCTTCATTTTGTGCAACTCAGAGTTTTGCATATAATGTTTCAAAAATTTAAACCGCATAAAACTTGCTCGAATAGGAATTTGGAAATAATGCTTCAATATTTTTTAGTTGTTGTTGTGGCACCGAATATCAAATAATAAACAAACTTGATTTTTTATGTGTATGCACATTCAATATCCTTTCACATTTTAAATCATCTCGACCGGCCATTAAAACAATAAAAATCAAAAGCAGAGCAGCCATGGACATATGAAAGCATCTGAGGTGAAATCAGGTGGAAAGGAGGAGTGAGCATCCCCTGTCCACATGTGTCGCATAATTTTTGTAACTTTCAAGTCTTCCGTCTGAGACGCAATATTACCCAAAAATAGGTAGACAATGCGATGAAAAGAAGAAAATTTTTAATTCATCAAAATTTTTGCGGTAAATAATTCATTTTATTTCATAGTTTAATTAGGAGGGAATTTATGCATATATCCACCAAGAGATTTGTTTGAAATTCAAATTACTTTTTACTATATCTTATACAAACATGCGCTTCCCATAGACTTCAATGTAAAATTCAAGGTGAAATTAATTTGACAATAATCAAAATTTTATAAATTCCTTTGGTAGAGCATTTTTATTTGATAACATCTTCAAAATACTACCATGTTTAAAAATATCGGACCATTCATTTATTAGGTACAAAATATGGTCGTTATACATTGAATACCCTAAACTCTGTGAATATTCTAACAAGCTAATTCAGAGAATTCGTGTCCCCAGCTTAGGGAAAAAATCGGCTCTCCCTGACTGAATTTGTAGAATTATTAAATGTATACATGTATACTGAAGCAAATAAAATACATGTATGTCAATATGCATATAAAGATTTGATTGCTTATTCTTTATTATGTGTATAGAAGATTCCTTTTATATGGAATATTTATCACACTGTAATGATGATTTTTAACCTCATAAATTTTTCATTTCACATGCTGAATACTATCATTTAGTAAAAAAAAAAGAAAAGAATTTTCTAAAAAAAAAAAAAAAATTGGAATATTAATCGCCCGAGAAGCGATCCCCGGGCCTCTCACATGTGACGCGAGAGACATGCCACTAGACCACGGAATCGCTTTAAGAGGAGCCAGGTATATGCAGAACTGAAGTCACATACATGTATATATTCATGTTCGGTTTTCTCAAAATTTTACACAATCCATGGTGTTTGATTTATTTAGCCTTTATTAAACAGTTCTAATAGATGTAATAAAACATAAAGTCCGCCGAGAACCTGTTTTATACGTAATAACTCTCCTCATGCCTCTGTGCTAAAAATAGCGACATGTAATACTATAAATACTAATAAAACAAACGAGGCAGGGCACTTTGAGAGGGGTGAGAGAAGTTGTAAGGAGTTTTGGTATAAAATTACATTGCATAAGCTCAAAATCTTCTTGAAATATCGCCCGAAAATGATAGTGTTACACACAGACAGAATTTATAAATTTACGACCTTGAACTTTGACCTTTTGACCTCAAAATCAATAGGGATCTTTATTAGGCCACAGGGAGTTGTTATGTAAAATTTCATTGCAATAGCTCAAATGGTTCTACAGATATTGTGTGGAAACGAAAGTGTTATAACAGACAGAATTTGTTTATTTATGACCTTGGCCTTTAATCTTTTGACCTCAAAATCAATAGGGTTCTTTTTTAGTCCATAGGGAGTTGCTTTGCTAAATTTCATTGCAAAAGCTCAAAGGATTCTCGAGATATCGTGTGGAAACGAAATCGTTACAGACAGACAGAAAGACGGACGGACGGGCGGACGGACAAACCCAAATTAATATCCCCCACTTTTCAAGCGGGGGACAAAAATGTGTATAAACTGTTTGTATTTAATCATAACCGTTACATGTTATGCAATCATTTTGCTGTGACAACCAATTCACAGAGCAGTTTATGCATAAGCTGTCTGTCACCGGGGATAAAGAGACCATGAGCTTCCTTAAGGAAATACTTCCGATCGATGTCACTCACTGTATCGGTTTCTGAGTGCAGAGAGTCTAACCATGTTATTTCGCCATATGTAAATAAGACGTCATATTCGCCATTAGCTGCCCCAATAATTGGATCAATTTTTAAATGAAAAAGCAATCAGAGATACAGTCAAAATGATTCCATCTATGATAAACCTCTATCACCTAGGATGCAATACAGACTACATTTATTGCAAAGAACTCTTGTGACATGAAAAAATAGAGTGCATCACTAATGCATTATTTTAGAATGAAGTATTGAATAAAATCCTTTTAAGTCGTAAGTCAATTATAACACAAAATGGTTTTTTTAAATATATATTTAACTATGATTTGATCCTTATTGCTTTACATGGGATTGTCGATTGGGAGATAAAATCGCACTGGGATAATTTTTCACTGATAATGAAGTTGATTCTATTTCTTTCTTAAGTAACTTTTCAGATTACAGTTGAAGCTCTGCTCGATAAAAACGGCTATCATGAATTTGAAAATAAGCAAACTTTACGTAATGTCATTATAAAATGCCATCAAGAATAAAACATCTGGATAAGAATTGCCATTTGTCTGGTAAAAACTGCTTAAGTGATGGGATTCATTTTCCAAGAAAAATCAATTTGAAGATAAAATTTTTAAAAAAAAAAATACATTACTTTGTAAATATTGCAGGATTTCTTGATCCCCTTTCCATATTGAAATACAATCGCATTAAACTTATGGATAAATTCCAAACCCTTTCATTAAAAAATGCAAAATTAACCACGATGGAGCATGATTTTTTTATGGTCACCTCAAACCTTTCGTCCAAAGATGGATAGTGGTCTTCAAACGCTGAGTTGATTAGTCTTTATAACACGACTACAATTTAGTTACATTGACTAAGATTTATTTGAAACTCGTAAATTTAATTACCTGGTCAATGGTCATTTGCAAAATTATTTTGTTAAAACATACAAGTACTCTGAAGTCGTCATCAAAAAGATGCTTGAGTTTCTGATTGATAATTTCTATGTGATTTTTGGCGATCAGGTCTTCCAACAATCTATTGTAATTCCCATGGGTTCTAATTGCGCTCCGTTATTAACAGACCTTTTTATATTCATATGAAGCAGAAGTTGTGGCTTTTGGAGTCCAGGTATTCCAACAATCTATTGGAATACCCATGGGTACAAATTGCGCTCCGTTATTAGCAGACTTAGTTTTATATTCATATGAAGCAGAATTTATGCAAAATTTTATTCTTGAAAAGAGGAAAACACTTGCTGTGGCCTTCTACTCGACATTTAGATATATCGACGACGTATTGTCAATTAATAATGGTAATTTCCATTCATACGTCGATTCGATATATCCTGGTGAGCTTGAGATAAAAGATACCACAGAGTCCGACACTTCTGTTTCATACTTGGATATTTTACTTGAAAATGACACTAATGGTAATCTCATTTCGTAAGTTCTATGGTCGATACAATGACCTTGTCAGCAAATACAATTTTTCATTGAGTCAAATGATGATTGACGTTTTTCATACCAATTGTTTGTCCATTATTCATACACTGAATTGAGTTGATGACGGATTTTTTTCCGTTATTTCCTGATCATGACAAGGAGCACACGGCGGATGTGACCGGTCGGCAGGGGATGCTCACTCCTCCATGGCACCTGATCCCACCTCTGATATTTCGGGGGTTCGTGTTTGCTCTGCTCTTATTTTGTATTGTTTTATGGAATTTGAGATTGAATACTGTTCGTTTTCTCCATATCCTTCTTCAAAATCTTAGACGTGAAGAGAAGAAAACACTTCCTGTGGCCTTCAACTCGACATTTAGATATATCGACGACGTATTGTCAATTAACAATGGTAATTTCCATTCCTATGTCGATACGATACATCCTGGTGAGCTTGAGATAAAAGATACCACAGAGTCTGACACATATATTTCATAAATGGATATTTTACTTGAAAAAGACGTTAATGGAATCTAACAACCAAGCTCTATGATAAACGTGATGACTTTAATTTTTCTATAGTCAACTTCCCTTACTTCTGCAGCAATATACCTTCATCATCTGCATACGG